AATCTCAGTCTTCTCCTCGTTGGGGGGAAGCGGGTAGTCTGTCAATTCATGGTTAATCACAATTCTCTAGAATACACAGTCAAAGGCGTAGGTGCTCTTACTGGGAATAATGTATTGCTTAGCACGGAGCAGATTGCTAACGGCTTCTTGCTTGACGTGCGGGAATTCTTTGTGGAAGCCATCGGTAAGGGTAAAGGCTACGACGGGTAGACCAGGGTTGTAAGCTTCGCTCGTAGCGCCTTCTTCGTATTGCTCCTTGCCCTTTTCGTACTTGAAGTCACCCTTTTTGCGGTGAATGTCGCTAACGCAGCGGTACCAGCCCTGTGGTATGACATCAGTAGTTGTCTCAAGTTTGTTTATAAGGGGTTTGTTCTTACCGTGTGTTCCAGCGCCCTGCTCAATAGACGGGCATTAGCCAAGGTGTTTTCCATAATGCTGCGGTATCCCGAGAAACCCAGATGAATCAGGTTATAGTACTGCGCAATGACCTGCGCACCTGGTCGTGAGAAGTTCAACGTGTACGACTCCTCGGTTCCGCCCAGGTAGTGGAGTTCAAATATCAAATGCTTGGGTAAATAGCTCTCATCTCGCCATATGATCCATCCAACACCGGCATACACAAGTCCAAATTTATGCCCACTGGTGTTTATGGACTTCACTCGCGGCAACTCGAAATTCCATTTCCTGCCCGCCTTTGCATGTGTAAAGGGGGCAATGAAGCCACCTGATGCGGCGTCGACGTGGATTGGAATGTCGACTCCAGTCTTCTTCTCGAATTCGTCCAAGATTTCCGAAATCTCTTCAACAGGCTCATAATGACCGGTGTAGGTGGAGCCGAGGATGACGAAAACTCCGATAGTGTTCTCGTCGATATTCTCCTTGACTAGCTTGGGGTCTAGGCGGTAGGACGAATCCTCGCTTACAGGAAGAATACGGGCCTCGACCTCAAAGTACCTGGCAAACTTCTCCAGTGCTACCTGAGCATTGGCACCCATGATGATGTTTGGGTTGGAAGTGTCCTTGCCCTCTGCCCTTCTCTTTTCCTGCCAGCGGCGCTTCATAGCGAGTCCACCGAGATGAATGGCCTCACTGGAGCCAGTGGTGGCAGATCCAATTGCCTTTTCGCCCTTTTGCACACCCCACATGTGGGCAATGATGGATACACAGCGAGCATGCATGTCCATCATGGCCGGATACTCATCAGCATCTGACAGATTCTTTGATATGTTTTCAATCATGAGCTGCTCGCCCTCTCTCTCCATGTAGGTGCCAACGAATGAAGCAAGGTTAAGGCTAGGCCGTCCGTCTAGGTCGAGCTCATCTTTGAGTAGCTGGTGAACAACATCGGCTGGGGCACCGTCTTGTGGAATTTTAAACTTGGACAGTTCGTTGCCAGCAGCATATCGACTGGAGTAAGGGGTGATGTGCGAAGTTGCTCGGTTTTCGGCATGACGTCCGCCAGCCTTGTGCATAGGATGGTCTTTGAGCGTCGTTAAGAGCTCTTCCGTGTCAACGTGTCTTGCTAGTCCTGCCATTATGAGAGATTTCAAAGTTGGGAGTAGAGCTGTGGTGCTTTAGGATGGTTGCAGTGTCTACATCCGTGCGACACAGGCGTGGTAATTATATAAAAACCACAGGTAGTAGTAGTACATGCAATTGCAATTTGTTGACATGACGACACATTGTATCGGCTCCTGCCCGTATGTTCACGCCAATAACAATAGGGAATAGACAGCCCGTTGGAATTTGAAAGCTTGACAAAAGCTTGTTTTGGCATTCCACTGAGGGTGACAAATGACCTCACAGCCAATCACATCCTTAGGTCCGAGGCCCACTGTGGGTAGCTTTTGTTAGTAACGTCGACCAAAAGTGTGGTCAGCGTTATTTTGGGCATATGCGCAAGCCTAGAGCTGTAGATTTGAGTGACTTGGCCGCGTAAAATTGACGCACAGTGACGAAGGTGTCTGAATAGCGGAAGTAAAAACAACGTCACCACTAGATGTACATGTGTGTTTGTATATGGAGAAGGCATCCACAGTTCTTGGCAATGATTGCTGGTTGCATGCGCCTAGAGTGGTGTATGGTTGGTGGGTAGGTAGTAACACTTGACAGGAGCATGAGACCGAAGAATTGGTCGTCCTCGTTGTTTGTGGCTGACACAAGCGTGTATGTACGTAGTATGCGTACGTGGTTTTGATTCAATAGCTTCCGTGTGGAGATGATGGCAAGCTTCTGTGCGGGGAACTAATCGGATGGCGAGCTGCGTATGTGCATGCATCGAGTACGTATCTGAGTGGGGTGACAGGCAATGCTCTAGCCAAGAGCCGCGCGCTTTCACGTGATCTTTCCATCTTTCATTCCTTCACTCTTGGGTCCAATGCAGCATGGCTCACAACAAAATGTTCCTGAAACCCAAAGAACGAAACATGTGTATGCTAGAAGCTGTTACAGTCCCAACTGTGTCTGAATGTATCGAGTGATGGGCGTGGGAGGTGAGAGATTGATGATTGGTGACGTCACGTCAGCGCATTGTCATCTTGTCTCATCCGCCGAGAACCGCGGGGAAGCATTGACTGACGCGTCCTTTGTTGCAGCCTGGGACCACTGCGTACACTACATTTGACTTTCTTCACCGCGTGTCAGCCTGGAACTTTGTTTTCTTTGTTGACATCTTGTCTTCAACTCAAGCATTCCCCATCACTTGCTGCTCTTCCTTTCAGTGCGTCCTTTGCCATAACGTTCAAGTCTAGACTGCTTGATTTCGTCTGACTTGTGGGGTTGCCACGCACCAACCAGTCGGCCGAATATCTCAGCGCCATTGCTACGCAGTGGTGTTGTAATCGACTTGTCGTGCTCTTAGCTCCATTGGGGCACTACTTGTAACCCTCCCTCTGTCTGCTCCTCCTGCCTGTCATCTCAATTACCCTGCAATTACCAGGCCAACATGCGCTTCTCACGAGTTGTGCCACTTCTGCCCTTGGCAACCGCTTTTGTCATTACCGAACCCGAAGTCTTCTCCAAGATTGAAAAGTCGGGACGGCGGCTTGTTGACAATGCCCAGACTATCCTTGATGATGCACTTAGCAAGGTCAAGGATGGAGCACAGGATGCATATAGCAAATTCCACCATATTGGCTACGATGTCGAGGCATGGCTAGAGAGCGAGGATTTTGAAGACAACGTCATCGACCTTGGTCACCCCCATGGTCCTCACCATGGCAAACCCGACCATCCGCCACACCACGATAACCCTCACCACCCACCGCACCACGACAAGCCAAACCGAACCGTTTACGAGCTCATCAACGAGAGCAAGTACACTACAAAGCTGGCTAAACTAATCAACGAGTTTGATGATGTCGTCGAGTTGTTGAATGGCACTGCAGCCAACTATACCATTTTTGCTCCGACGGATGAGGCTTTTGAGAAGATCCCTAAGCATCACCCAAAGCCATCAAAGGAGTTCTTGAAGGAAGTCCTCTTGTACCACGTCACTGACAGCCTGTACCCTGCTGGTCGCGTTCTCCACAGCTTCACCATCCCTACTCTGTACACAACTAGCAAAAACCTCGGTCACGCTCAGCGTCTGACTCCCCGAGTCACGTTCAAGGGCCCCACAATCAACTACTACAGCCGCCTTGTAGCTGTAAACATCTTTGGAACTAACGGCGTTGTTCACGGCGTCGACCACATCCTTGTGCCCCCTCCCAATGTTGCCACCATCATCGATCTGCTCCCTGGCTCCTTCAGCACACTGGAGCTTGCTCTCACAAAAACTGGTATATATGACTGGCTCAACACGACCGAGTACGAGCACAACGGCGGCACCTTCTTCGCTCCAAGCAACTACGCTTTCAAGAAGCTCGGTACTCGAGCCAATGCCTTCCTTTTCTCAAAGTACGGCGAGAAGTATCTCAAGGCTCTCCTAGAGTACCACTTGGTCGTCGACCAGACCCTTTACACAGATGCCTTTTTCGATGGATCCGATGACGACGACGATGAGTCTGCTCAAGACCGCCCAGACTACTACCACTACGACCTCCCAACCGTGCTGGATGATAAGTACCTCGCCGTCGATGTCACGCGTTATGGACCCTTTGCCGAGATCCGAATCAACGGTTTCTCGCGCGTTACTATTCACGATGGTGTCGCCAGTGACGGTGTCATCCAGGTGGTTTCTGATGTTCTCATCCCACCCAAGAATGCTGGTGGCGTGCAAGTCTTCTGGGAAGGCGAGGAGCTTGATGTCGAGGATCTCAAGGAGCGTCTTGAGCCTTTTGTTGACAACATGGAGTTGTAGAGTTGCACACCCACCCCACCACCATACATCTCGTGTTGAAGTGAAGAACGGATTATGTAGCCACTGTGACATTGGACAATCTTTACACACATTTCCACTTTTACATAGCCTTGTCTTCATATTGAAGCAGGCACCTCACACTAGAACGTGTATGGTTTTAGGTAGCTCAATGAATAAGAACAGTTTCGTCATTGGAACAATGTTGGTTTACGTGAATACCATGCTCTCTCTCTCTCTCTCGGTGGATTGTTGAAACTGGAAAACCCAGGCTAAGCGGGCTACTAGCCTACCAAACTGAGTAACCTTTACTACAAAACATCAGCACCGCTACTATATAATTTTTTAAATAAAATTTAGGACTGGATAAATACGCTAACTCATTGTTGTCAATGCCTATGTGGATGATAAGTAGCTGCCTTCGCAGGCAACTACTACGAGAAGCAGCGCAAACTGGACCTGATTGAGAGGATAAAGAAAGGGAACGGCTTCTCGAGGCCGAGGAAGTTTTCTAAAATCAGCAATAAGGAGCTAAAGGGCTTCTATAGTGTCTTCATTCCTGGATGACATGCTCCACTAAGGGATCTGTCATAATATTGGTGGTGTTGGGCGATCTTGTCCCCGACTTCATCGTTCGACTGGGAGGCATGGTGATATGAATTTTAGAAGAAAAACCAGACAATCAATCCACATTGTACTGACTGTTGTATATCACCTGTGGAGGAGAACAGCTTCTAGTGACAACAGCTCAAATAATCTTTGTATTGGATTACTGCTCTATGTAAGAAAGAGCAGCCAAAGTACGTATATGGTGAGTCTATGGGCTAGGCTCACCGCAGACTAGTGCAGAACAAGTCAAATGTACCGAAACGAGCTCGGTGAGCAGTATTCTCCTGCACGACAGCATTTAATTGAGATACAAGTCTCCACCATACCCTTAAGCCTTACGCCAAACCAGCGCGAAAACGAACCAAAGTTGCCAAGGTCCGCTCTTAAGAAAAGTCTTCGCCGCCCTCCTCAATCGTGTTCTTGATCCGCAGCAGAAGCGTAGTCTTCCACTTATCCAACTTGCTCAGCTGATCGAATTGGAATAACTACACCGCACATTAGCACTTCTCCCTTCTCAAACACAATAATCACATACCTTGTCGGCAAACATTTCCTGGTCGCCATCCTGCACCGCCGCCGTAAGATCAACCAGTAGCGCATACTCCCTCTGCTGCTGGAAGCTAGGATCAATCTCCCTGTACTTCTCAAGCGCGGTATTGACGCCAACTTGGTCACCTGTGCACAACTGGCAGATACCAGCCTTGAGTAGGTATTCTTTGACGGACCAGCGCATGAGATTGTTAGCGATGGAGGCTTTTGCGACTTTTTCATAGAGCTCAATGGCCTTGTAGTAGTCTTTGCCTTCTAGGGCAATGAGGTCGGCCGTCTTGAGCCAGAGCTTGTTTGCGAGTGCCTGCGAGTGAGGGTTAGTCTTAGCCAAAAAGGTAGAGGATGTCTGGGTGGTCATTACTTCGGCATTGTCCTAGGTCCGTGTTAGCGTCCATGTTCTTTCAAAGCGTTGAGCGATGGGGGTATATAAGTATATGGAGACTTACGCTCTCGTACCAACCAGCTGCCTCTTCGTAAGCAGCTGCAGCACGCATGTTGTCGCCAAGCTCTACTTCGTAAAGTTCGCCGAGATTCTGCTTGTGAGTAGCTGCGCGGCGGAAGTTGCCTTTGTTGCAGTAGTGTGTAATGGCCTTGTCTAGACACCTTGCCGCCGCCTCTGGGTCATCTTTCCGGTAAGCCTCTGATCGTATTAGCTACGTATACATATTAAACAGTCTATGAGAATCCTACTGAAGGCATCTGTCAAAGTGTTTGCCTCATCGTCAGGCTCGTTCAGGTGTTGGCGTTGAACTGATGCTGCTTTCTCGAAGGCTTCACCGGCTTCCTTGCCTGGAGCCAGTTAGTATCTCAGAGTGAGGCTGAATTGAATAGTTCTTCAATCAATATCTTTGGGATTCCATATACATACCCATCTTTTGCATTCGAAACGCATTTGCTGCGGCGATGAACTGTTCGGCGGCTGCCTCGTCTGTCACGTGCGTCAGTGTTACAACACTCGCATGTCATCCGCCAGCCCTTACACTTCTCTTGCTTTCCTCCGAAGAAACTGAAGCCACCCGATGCCTTCTGTAGTGACGTCTCTGCCTAGTAAAGCACACGAATATCAGTTGTCTGCATGGTGGCTGAGTCGGAAGAGGAGGAGGCCCCACCTGTCGCAGCAATGCCCTGGGGTCACCGGCCATGTTTGCTGAGTGTGCGATATACGGTGCGTAGTAGCGGATATATGAGAAATCTTTTAGAAGAAGAGAAACTGTATCGAAACTTGGGTTGGAATAGGTGGCTGCGCTTGCTGTCTTCATGGGCGATGACGACCCACGCTGGGCTGGTCCATGCGAGACCCGCGGGGCACCGCCAATGGCGCACTAGTGCTTTGCAGCTGCCTCAACCACGACTGGACTTTTGGCGACGACACCGTTCGTGTTTCGTCTGGGCTTCAGCTTTTTTGGGGCGGTGATTTCAGAAAACGAAACAAAATTCAACTACAAAAGTGAGAAAAGTTGTTTCCTTATAGCGAAGTTCCCTTTTACGGAACCAAAACGCATCATGGCAAATCGTCGCGTCTTTGCGGCTGTGAAGCTCTACAAGCCGACGCAATGCTTGCAAATACGGTCATTTGCGCCTTCGACTCTACGGCTAGAAAAGGACTCCAAGGAATCTGCACACCCACGGAAAAACCTCGGCATCCATCCCAGCGAGCTCGAGCAGCTTCTCGCAGAGCCCACCTGGTCCGTCGAGTCCCTCCTCCCACCAAAGACCCGTGCTCCCGATGCCCCGCAAGTCACTTCGCAGCAGCTACACCACCTACTACGACTATCAGCTCTCCCGCCCCCGGGGACGCCAGAGCAAGAGAAGAAGATGCTAGATACGCTAGCAGCACAACTATACTTTGTAGGCAAGATACAAGAAGTGGACACTACTGGTATAAAGCCTCTCCGGGCTATACGCGACGAAACTGCGGCTGCGGAAGAAGAACAAAAAATTACATTGGAGACGCTCAAGGATGCATTGGCCAAAGAGAAGGTTGTGGGACGTCATCACAAGCGCATACAGCGTGACAATACACCTGTCAATGCGAAAGACGTCGAGGACTGGGATGTGCTAGGCTCAGCCGAGCGGAAGTCCGGCAAATACTTTGTTGTCGAAAGCGAACGCCCACAGGAATGAGTCGCTCAGCATTGGCTCTCACCAAGATCGAAAGGCATGCGCTAGCGCTATCGATTTGCACAGATCCCATACTACAATGGCTACTCAAATTGCCTAGCTATGTCCAGAACGACGATTCAAACACCAAACGCCTCATAATATTTGCAAAATCATAGTATCCGTAAAATCCGACAACGATCCAAGGGAAACAAGACGAGAAGAGGATATTCGCCCATCCCAAACCTTCGTGATCAAAAGGTTGACTCGAAACGCTAAGCAGCCAAACCGGAGAACAAGAAGACCAGCTTCAGTATCGAAGCGTAACCAGAAAAACATATACTCAAATTCAAACACGGAACACCTCCTCTTCACATGGGCCATAGATCAACCTCCTTGTTGCATATTCTACAGCGCTTCACAACGTGTACTCCAACACCGCAGTCACAGAAGGGCGCTTCCTTGAGATCGGGAAGCTCTGGTGTTGGCAGTCGAGTCAAACGAGGTGTTGGAGGAGGTGTTGGTTCTTCAGGAAAGTAAAAGCTTCTCTTCTCTTCTCCCGACAGTTTCCTTCTTGGCTCTAGGGCCCTCTGTATGATTGCCGGTTTCGGCCTGACTTTGGATGAATGCTTGGCAGAAGTCACGTGAGGTATTGAGTAGGATTCCCTCTCTCTGACTTTTGGTGCACTGCAACGTGAAGAGTCGTAAGAGTGGCTTCTAGAGGACGACTTTATGCTATCCGTTGGGTACAGGACAAAGTCGGTATATGTCTGGGTTGGTGACTCGACCTTGCGGGCACCCCCACCGCGACGACGAGATTCCGCAATCTGGACCCCGGCTTTATCATGGTACATTGTCTGGCGGTATCTACGGGTCTCTTCATGATATGAAGGGGGGTTTGATGTGGACTGAACTTGCTGCATTGGCAGCGACGGCGACGGCATGGTAATCACTGAGACCAGCGGCCAGTATGTGATATCAGAAAAGAGTTGGGAGTCTTTGCTTAAGGTCTATGAAGGACCTTGGAACTATACCAAGCCTCGAAAAAAGGTGTTGTGGGGAGTAGTTGGTAATGTGATAGTGGGGAGTGAGGAAAGGAGTGATGAGGTGGGAGGTGGGCGGTGCAAGATATATGTGTGCAAGATTCTGCCAAGCATTATCCCACCTAGTACGCACCCGGCCTCCCTCCCCCACCACTACCCCTCTAGGCTGCTCTGTCCTACAGCATTTATCGAGTTCCAAGCTGTCAATAAGCTCATATCTTCTGACATTGTCTCTGAAATAATCGAGGCAGCATGAGTTTAAGAGATAGTGTGGTACTTTTAGACATTTCTGTATTGGGAATATCGTAGTGCAGTTTCTTATATCGAAGCTGCTACGAAGCGCCCAACATGAGAAAAGCGGAATTTGGAATCTTTAGGATTAATGAGACGAGTGAGATGGCTCGATGCATCTGGTTTTGGGAATTATCTGCCCTTTGACGTCGTCGTCGCCCGTTGGTCTTCATCCATGTCTCTAACATGCCGTTTGGAAGGAGTAATCCAATCACTTTTCGAACCTCTTCACCATCTTTATTCACTTAGTGATACTCTGCGTGATTTTACTAATCTCTTGGTAGTTGTTTTCTATCATGGTGTGGTAACATAGGAATAGCAGATAGAAAGGTCTACTCGAATCAGCCCCTATTCAATAAAACAACGCGCATCAAGCTTTAATATAAAGTTAAATCTGCGTACGCGATCATCTTGGTATTATCTAAATACTCTTCCTTCTATATTGATTATTTAACCATGCCTAGAGACGTTAAAATATGTACACGCGTGCAAGTACAACTATTGAAATTTAATCATCGCTCTAGGTAGTTTTTCGTGGCGTGGTAGCGTAGTGGTAGCAAATAGAAAGGACTATCCGGGTCAACCTCTAGCCAATAAAACACCACCAACAAAGTCTCGATAAAAAAGCCAAATTCACACTCTATCCTCTCAGTATCATTTTGAAACCTCTCCCTTCGATATTGATTATTGAAGTATACCCAGAGACATTCGCACATGTACACGCATGCAAGTATGACTCGTGAAATTCAATCGTCCAGCCCACGTGATGACGTCGCCATCTCTCTGTGACCGCCCGCTGGCATTTCCCCCACCACCCCTACTCCCCTGTCTCGGGCCATCCCGCCACCATCAACTCCTGTGACAAACCCATCATTGTTATTCTTAGAAAAAAGAAGATAAATAGTGGGGAACTCGAAACGGTGCTTGATAAAAAAACACACTCAAATACGATGTGATATTTATATATAGTTATAACTAGTTATATATACGTATGCATACATGCTTATGCCGAGAAATACGTAGGCACCAACGATACGACACGAGACGACGCCACACTGTCTTCTCCTCCAGATATTTTCTGCTAGACGTGTAGTTATACCAAGCTCAGATGCAAAGTAATTGTTTTCAGACAAGTAAACAAGGATGGGGTCTTAATTCAGTATAGAAATACGCGTGGAATTGGATATATCTATAAGTCCAACGAACAAAGAAGCAAAAAAAGTCTGTCTAGTACATTTGTGATGCATGCGCCATTGTAATTCATCGTTTTTCCTATTTTCTGAATCACCATGTCCTTTCCCCGATTCCTCCTTCCCCCCTTTGCCAGTTCAAAAAAAGAAAGATGAATACAGCTGGTCGTTCTGCTTAGTAAGGAATGCCTTCGTACTCGCCGTAACCAAGTGCAAGGTTCATGTTCTGCAAGCACTGGGTTGCGGCGCCCTTGAGCAGGTTGTCAATAGTGGCGTTGACGACGACACGCTTTCCGGAGCTGTGGACTGCGAAACCACCGATTTCTACACCGTGTTTGCCGGAGATGTTCTTGACAAGTGGGGATTCTCCGACAATCTTGACTAGCTTCTCGCCGGCATAGCGGTCCTGGTACAGATTGCGGATATCCCGGGAGGTCATGGTGCGGTTGAGAGGGATGGAGATTGTGTGCTGTAAAAAAAGTTAGCAAGGCCAGGTGATATGGGTGCTGAAATCGAGAGATTAGGACAAGACTTACGTGAATACCCTGGAACCAAGCAGCAACATGGGGGATGAAGGCTACCTCAAGGCCTAGTTGGCGTGAGATTTCCTTCTCGTGGATGTGGTCCGTCAAGCTGTACGGAATGAGGTTGTTCTCAAGATTCTTGACATCGTTCTTGGGGCTGGGCTTCGTGCCTGCTCCCGAGTAGCCAGAAACACCAAAAACAGTGGGTTGACCGCCGATGAATTCAAGGAGAGGTGCAATGCCAAGTTGAGCTGCTGTAGCATAGCATCCAGGGTTTGCTATCCGCCTGGCGTCTGAGAGCTCTGAGCGATTGACGGTTTCTGGTAGCCCATAGGTCCAGGAGCTGTCGAATCGGTAGTCAGCGCTCAGATCGACAATGACGGGATCTTTGCCGCTCTCGTTGATTGCATCAACGAATGGCTTGCAGACGCCGTTAGGAAGAGCCATGACCCAGCAGTCTACCTCTCCGTTCTCAGCCATCTTCTTGACGTCTTCGGCTGAGAGGTTCTCATAAGTAATCTGTCGCTTGGTGTAGCCTTCGAGCTTCTTGCCAGCAAGCTCACGTGACGATACATGGCGCAAGTCCATGTTGGGATGTTTATTAAATAGCTCAATCAGAGCTTGACCTGTGTAACCACGTGCGCCAATCAATGCGACCTTGGCAGGATAGTCCCTGCTCTTGTGCTTGATGCCGTATGGAGGGTTGGGGTTAGTGGTCTCCATGGAGCGCTTTGCGGTAGTAGCGAAGCCTCGGGTTGATGCAGGTGCAAACCTGTTTTGTCTACTTGTTAGGTTAGCGATGAAGATCAACAGAGGCTTGCTTGAAGGAGTGCGCTGAATGATTTTTTGCGTACCTCAGACCAGGCCTTGTAGACGAACCAGCAATGGTAGTGTATGCGCGTGTCTGCTGGCCCTGCTTCAAGCTCGCTACAAAGTCGGCTGCCCTTCGGAACTGAGCGTCAAGGCTGTCCTTCAACATGCTGCGGCCCTGCTTCTGGTAGTTCTCCAGTAGCGAGAAGATTTCTGAGGACTCGGCTGCTCCCCACCAGCAAAAGATTTCCTTGTCACGGCGAAGGAAGCCATCCGTTTTCTCCAGGTGCCACTTGACATAGTTCTGTGACTGGTCATCCACAATCCAGTAGAGCTTGGGGTACTTTTGCTTCATGCGCTGGAAGACCAAATCGTTCAGGTTGTTCAAAAAGGCGTCCTTGGTCATGCTGAAGTGGGACAGCTGGGCGAACTCTCCCTCAGCCGTAGGGGGATACACGACAGCGACAACGCCCATGGAGTCATCATGGAAGACCTCGAACGGACGGTTCTTCAAGTTTTGGATGTATCGGTTGACAGCATCACTTGCTTCAGCTCCCCGGCTCTTGGTAATCCCTTCAACAAGGGCAGAGACATCCAAGTCCTCAAACTTGCTGATTTCTTTAACGCTGCCTCCATTTCGAATGAGAGTTCCACTTCCAGTGTGGGTGAAGAGCTCCTTTCCGAGGTTGGATGGGTGAGTAATGGCAACGCTGGAAGTGCGTGGGAGACCGTCTAGGAGCTTCTTTGCCTCCACAATCTTGAGCTTGGTGCCGTACTTGACCCACGACTGCTTCATGTAAGTATCGTACTCGCCCTCGAGGTTGATGTGAGGGATGAGCTTGGACTCGGCATTGAACAGGCCTCCCTTCTCGGATAGGTAGATGACCTTGAGAGGCTGGAACTCGCGTGCCAAAGCTGCGGCAGCTACGTCGGCGTTGATGTTGAGGATCTGGCCGTCAATTGTCTCGCCCATGGAGCAGAGGATGGGGAGCTCCTTGTTCTCCAGAGCGTCCATGATTTGCCTCCTGTTGACATTGGTGATGTTGCCAACATACTTCCATTTGTCCTTGTCCAGGTAGTCCGCCTGCAGCGCACCAGCGGTGATGGGGCGTGCAGGGACACCCCAATCGCGCTTGAGGGTCATGACCAAGTCCATGTTTGCCTCCAAGAAGAGCTTGCGGGCAATGCCCAGCGTCTTCTTGTCCGTGACGCGAATGCCATCAATAAAGTCTGGCTCGACACCGCCTTCAAGCAGTAGCTGGTTCATCTGGGGACCAGCGCCATGGACGATGATAGGATACAGGCCAATTGCGTGGAGCTGCTGGAGGGCGAAGCAAAGCTCTTCGAGGTGGTCGGTGAGAATGGCGCCTCCGACTTTGACTACGGCGAATTGGTGTGGTGAGACGGAGCGGAACTGGCCCAGGTACTGGTCGACTTCGCGGCGGGAGCTGGAGCTAGCCAGCAGGTTGAGGAAGGCGGCATAGATGGACGAGTTGCGGCCATCCTTGGAGGACGTATAGAGGCGGGCGGGCGTCGTGGTTGCGACGAGGGCTCGCGGGAGGGCTCGCCGGGCTTGGGGAGTGAGGACGCGGTGGGAGGATCGTGCCGCTACACGGCCAGCTCGTACAATGCTCTGCATGATGATTGTGAGTGCTCGCAAGAAGCAGAGGCTACCCAGGCCCAAGCCGACTACTCAATCAGACACAAATTGACTACCGTGACTGGACGGTGGGGACTGGAGGAACGGGACCCAGGCCGATGTGTGATATGACGCCGAAGCAACAAAATTCGCTCCGCCCGCCGCCGTTATCGCTTCTTCCCCAGACATTTAGGCCAGCGAGCACTTGTCTGGCTCCAGGGGCGTGCGTAATGGCCATTGGTCATCCAGCATCGCCCGCATGCAGCCCACACACCCTCTCGCACCCGCATTGCACTGCACTGCACTGCGCTGCACTGGGGGACGGGGGAAGAGGAGGCACCTGGTTGTGTCACTGTTCGGCCGCAAGGCTAGCTCTAAAGCTGACATGGGCCTCGGATGCTGCTCCTGGCTTCCTCACAATCATCATCACAGTCACACATGTCGACACGCTTCCGTGCATGTACATATAACAACAAAACTCCATTTGCTCATCTGGCCATCATGCGTGGAACTAGCCTCACCAGACTTCGCAGCAGGAGCGGCCCGTTCCATGCAAATCGTGCTTTACAGGATTGCGGCACAGCCATGCGAGTGCAAACAAAGACAAGAAAGAAATTCGACCCATCGCTCCCTATTCGCCTAAAGATAGATCCTACAGAGACGGATGTCGTTGATCATAGTGCAACTCGTAGCCACTCGCCCCCTTCACCAGTGGCTCTCCCCCTACAGACTCGCTTCATTCCGTGCCATTATTAATGTGTGTAATTCGTGGTATCTCATATAGGGAGGGCTTATTTCTTTTGCGTGGCTACGACTGTGGGCCGTGTTAGTACTCGGCAACCAAACAAACGGGGGGCTTCCAGGGCAAGCTTACCCGAAGGGACAATGATGACAATCAGCAGGATGATGATGCCGACAATCAGGCACATGCGCATCTTCATATCCTTCCACCACATCTGCTTGCGCACACGGTTGGCGCCCCTTCGGAAACCTTGGGCAGAGACAGCAAGGTTGTCCGTCTTGTCCTGCAGCGAATCTAGGCGAGCTCCACGCTCAGAGACCTTGTTGATGTTGTCGCGCATGATGCCGACGGTGCTGTCGATTTCCTGGCCTGCGAGTCAGCGGATCATGTCGCATACACACGTTTCTGTCAGTTGAAGCTGCGCAGCTCGCACATGCGCACGGCGGTCCAGGTGCTGCCCAAGGGCGCGGACCAGCGGAGTCGCTATCGCAACAGTCTCGAAACAGGCTACGTTGTGTCGAGTGCTCTTGCGGACGTGCCAGTGTAAGGCATCACTGAGTCGCTCTGTTCTGGCAGGATGGGAGGGTGACGACGTACAGCTTGAAGTGCCGCGGTGCGGTGATTACCGTTCTGCTGGCCGCCCGGCGGGCCGCTCTGCTGGCCGCTGTTGGGAATGTAGGGATCATATGGAGGTTCCTCACGGTTGGACATGTTTGCAGATGAGATGCTGTGGAGAAGCTGGGTAGCGTGCGACAGTGGCGGGTGGTGCGGATATGGAGGGTGGGTGGTGTCGGGAGGGTGTGAGTGAAGAGAGAAGGTGGTGTGGTCGAGAGAACCAAGACTCAAGAGCCCGCTCAGCCCGGATGAACGAGCGTAATGTGTCAGCTACCGTTTGAGCACTGAGGCGGAGGTATGCGTGAAACTTGGCGCAACAAGACCAAATTCGGAGACAGCGAATATTTGAGCGAATATGGGATGTTGTTGCAAGAAGCTGACAGGCACCACGGACGATTTTACCTTGGTGACGGCATTCCCAGCGTGATGCAACTGACGGCAATCACAACGGTGGCTCCAGTCCGCTTCGGGCCCGCTGCGCCACACTTCACGTGACCCGCCGCCAGCCCTCGCCGCTCGCATTACGCTTCGTCCTGTGGCTGGGGTGGCCACCAACTGCTCGTCTTCGTCAGCGCCCAAGCATGCGACACACCCGCACAAAGACGAAGACAACAACTCGTCACAGTTCCCCTGTGTACGTACTTGATTGCACGCTGTGTCAGCACGCCTCGCGGCACTTCACTTCCAGACGCTGCCCTTGTTGCCGCTGTTACGTAGCAAAGCTGACAGGGCTCCTGTACGCACCCGCCCCCCGTGCCTCAGCCGCAGGGAATACGACATTTCTTCGCGCGAGCAGGCGGGCAGTGGTTCTGGACTGCTGGCACGGCAACAGGGCGGCCATGACGAGGCCGTTTCTTTCTTTGTTTTCTAAATGCAGCACACTAGACGCAGGTTGCGCCGAGAAAGCTTGCGAAGCTTCTTGATCCCGTTAGGCGTTCATCAGCATAACCACATCCATCGCTCGAGTGTTTGCATCGCGCGTGCCTGAGCATGGCTTCGAGACGCTCCTTGCAGCAGGACAGCGGACGGTGTGCCAGTCGCCCGCCTATCAACTGGGCCTGGTGGAGCAAGGCGACGAGGCGCCAAAGGGCAGAAACAGGAGCAGAGGGCCAGTGGGCCAGTGGGCCGGCGTGCTGCCCTGATCGCCAAGACGCGTGGACTAGCCCATATCTCCGGCCGCCGCCGCCGCTGCGCCTCTGCCCTGTCGCTGCTCTCTTGCTCAGGAGTTCTGTCTTCGCAACCACTGCCCTCTGCTGCTGATCTTGTGCCATCTCCCGTTTCTTTCTTGCTACCGTCAACACGCTCGCTGCACCACCCTGTCTCGCATTTCCAGGCGCCACTCTCCATCCACCCTCGACGCTCTGCGCTTGCTCTGCTCTCCCTGAATCCGTCGCTCGTTCCATCCTCGACACCAGCCACGCCCTTCTGCCATACCCCACGTTCTACCACCTTGGCCATCTTGGCCGTATTGGCACCACTGCGCATCGCTCGCCCTCAAGCCTGGCGCTTGAATCTCTTCGCTTTTGTCCGCTAGACGACTGCGACTCCAAGTCGCATTGTCCTCCGACCACTTAACATGAAGCTGACGTCTGCGCTCGGCGCCATTGGCGCCTCGGGTCTATTGCTCTCCGGCGTAGGAGCAGTCGACCTCGACATCAACTCGCCAGGTGGGACTGCCTGCCTCATGCCTCCTACCATCTCGCACTAACATCTGTAGACTCCATCAAGCAGGTTGCCAAGGCCCTTGCTATAAACCTCCGGTCTTACTACACTGGTGACCGGCCAGGCGATGTCCCTGGTAATCTTCCAGACCCTTACTACTGGTGGGAGTGTGGTGCCATGTTCAATGCCTTCATTGACTACTGGTACTATACTGGCGATGACACATACAACACCATCACCACGCAAGCTCTGAAGCACCAGATGGGAGATGACGGCACTTTCATGCCTTCAAATCAGTCTAAGACGCTTGGAAACGATGACCAAGCCTTCTGGGGAATGGCCGCTCTGTCCGCAGCAGAGAACAAGCTTCCTGATCTCCCAGACAACCAGCCCTCTTGGCTGTCTCTAGCTCAGGCCGTCTTCAACACCCAGTATAGGCGTTGGGAGACGAGTACGTGTGGTGGAGGTCTGCGATGGCAAATCTACACTTTCAACAACGGTTACAACTACAAGAACACCATTTCTAATGGCTGCTTCTTCAACATTGCTGCAAGACTCTACAAATACCTCGGCAATGACACATATGCCGATTGGGCTGAGAAGGCCTGGGATTGGGAGCATGCCATTGGACTCATGAGCGACGATTACCATTTCTACGATGGAACCGACGACACTCAGAACTGTACTTCTGTTAACCATATCCAGTGGACCTACAATGCCGGAATACACATGGCTGGCGCTGCCGCCATGTGGAACGTGGTAAGTATCAAATAAACATTTGTTGGCGATGATCACGTGCTAATAATGAATAGACTCAAAACGACAAATGGCGTGGCCGTGTTCAGGGTGTAATGGATGGAATTAACGTCTTCTTCAAGAATAACGTCATGACTGAGGTTGCATGTGAGAACAATGGCAAGTGTGACGTCGACCAGCGTTCCTTCAAAGCCTATCTCTCTCGCTTCATCGCATACACGGCTGCCGTCGCCCCTTGGACTCGTGATCAACTCAATCCCCTCATCCAGGCCTCTGCCCAAGCTGCTGCCAAGCAGTGCAACGGAGGTCCCAACCAGACATCATGCGGTCTCCGATGGATCGATGGAGGAGTCAACGATGGTAGCTTCGGTGTTGGTGAGCAAATGTCCGCCATGGAGATTATTCAGTCATTGCTGTACACTACCAAGCCCGGTCCTGTGACCTTGGACAAGGGCGGTATCTCCAAGAGCAACCCCAACGCCGGTGACACTTCGACCGATACGCCTATTACATTCAATGTCGTTACTACTGGTGATAAGGCGGGCGCTAGCATCTTGACCATTTTGGTTCTAGTTTCGATTCTCGTTGGCGCTTGGTGGATGGTGTCATAGATTTGCATACACATCCAACTTGTATATCAGTTGTTTGGACTATGCATCATCATGCTACAGTATGTTTTTTCTCGGAAACTGTACATTGTTTGGGTAATTTTTACCGTGCTTTTCTTCAGAGATGTATTCGGATGTTTTGATCAGCGGCTCGGGTTACGTACTAGTATAATAAACACAAAATTGTTCAAAGTTAACATTCGCCAGTGAAGTCGGCTTCATTTGGACATGTCTTACCCAAACAGGCAATGTCAGTGAAGCACTAGCATTCGCTTATCTTATCCTAATCCCTGCACAAAAGTTCCAACCCCACAGTCGTTTCTTTGCAGTTTGGCCTGACAAAGGCGTCAATAGACTATACACCAAAAATGGCCGAACAAGCTACAGAGGAAGATGTTCTGCTAGCCAAGCGCATCATTTCTGCGGCTGAGCGACACGATGTGCCGGCGTTGAACATCCTGCTCAAGGACGGCTCCGCAAACGTCCAGGACCCCACGGCAACAGTAGCAACATCCCCGCTTCACGCAGCAATTGCATCTTGCGGAAAGGTCGAAGAAGGCAAGGAGGCGAGTGAGGAGGCAGTTCAAACCGTGGAAACACTCCTCCAGAATGGCGCCATCTGGAACGATCTTAACAAGGAAGACGAAACCCCAGGCTGCATCGCACTCCGTCTCGGCCAGAAAAAGATCTACGACATGATGGTCGAAGCCGGTGTCCGCGCCGAGATTCTCTTCGCCCGAATGGAAGCCTTAGGCATGGGCGAACCCGCCGAAGAAGTCGAAGAAGACACCGAAATTCTCGAGCAACCTGCCGCCAAGAAACAAAAGATATCCACGGAAGATGCCAAACCCGTCGAGCAACCCACTTCAGAAAAAGTCCTTGATGACGTCTCCCTAGACAACCACGCCTACCTCAAGAGCCAGCTCCGCTACAAATCTGGTATTCTCCTCGACGAAAGCGACAATGCCGTCATGATGGACTGGGAAACGCAAATCATGCAACGCCACGCCGAGACTCTAATCCCCAAACCAGGCCTTCGCACGATGGTAAGAGATACATGTATGAAATTTATGTGAGACATACACTAACTTCGTACCTACGAAAAGAACGTAGGTCACGGCATGGGTATAGTAGACACAGCAATCCTAACGCATGATCCCGCTGAGCACCACATCATTGAGGCTCATCCACAGGTACACCAGCGACTCCGCGAGAAGGGCTGGTACGACAAGCCTAATGTTAAGATTCATGAGGGGAGGTGGCAGGATATCTTGCCTAAGCTTATTGAGCAGGGTGTTGTGCTTGATGCGATTTACTATGATACTTTTGCCGAGGATTACAAGGCGCTGAAAGAGTTCTTTGCGGAGTACGTGGTTGCGCTGCTAGCGAAAGATGGAAAGTTCGGGTGGTACAACGGGCTTGGGGCCGATAGGCAAATTTGCTATGATGTTTATACAAAGGTATGGTGCTTTCCTGTGATTATTCCGGAGAAGATGACTAACACGGTGCGGCAGGTTGCGGAAATGGATTTGTACGAGGCGGGCTTCGATACGGAGTGGGAGGAAATCAATGTCCCAGCTGGATTGCATGGAAGCGATCAGTGGGAGGGAACTAGGAGGCCGTACTGGACCATTGATGTGTATAGGTTGCCTGTGAATACGTTTGTGAAGTAAAGCGGAAAATCTACACGATTCCGGTACTTCGTCAAAATGAAGAACGTTCGGAAACAATAATACTCCAATATTATTGGTATCAAACGAAAACTAATATAGCTGCTTACAAGAAGAAGGGGGTATCGCGTATATCCAAGCCAAATAATCTCAAAGCCCAAGATCGTCATCTAGGTCATCAAGATAGTAATACTGATTCCCCAACGGCGTCGGCAGAAACTCCCACATACTCGGAATTATAACAATACCCAGCACAATCGCAATCCTACCCTGCAGCCCCATTCCCGGAACAAGCAGCGCACTCAGCGTCATCGAAATCCTAAACAAACGCCCCAGCGGCGGCCACGGAAACCGTCGCGCATCTTCTCGATTTCGGGTTTGGATTTGACCTTGCGCCGCATACGTCATTTGCTCGAAATACCCATACTGCTGGGGGCCCGTCCGACCCGCGCGATTAAGCCCAGTGTCGCGGTGGAATCCGAGTTGGTTGTAGCCTTGGGCGTCGTAGATGGCGGGGCCGTATCTGGGGCAGCCGTGTCGAAAACCGGCCCAGGGGTTGCCGCAGACGTAGCAGAAGGAGATGCCACAGATGCATCTATGTGCTGCGTTAGCCAAGAAGAATTCTACCTTTTTATTATATCTTTTTCGTTGGCTGTAGTAAGGGGGGACATGGGGGGGAAACAGATGGGAGAAGGGATGTTACCTGATGTGATTGCATGCTTCGGCCAATTCGACGGTTGCGCCACAGGCGAAGCAGCGTTGATATCCTTTTTTGAGGACTATTTGCTTGAAATTTTCGTCTACATCGTTTGAGCCGCATGTGTGTGCTGGGCTGTTCTTGTCTAGCAGTGTCTTGCAGTGCACACATGTCCAGCCGCCGCATTCTTCTGCCTTGCAGATTGCGTAGGTGGTGCTGGAGAGTGCGTCTTTGACATTGGACGATGGGTGGAGGAACCGGGCACAAGACGTATTTGCGCAGTAGAGTCGATTTCTGTTGCTTTTTTGTTAGACGTTGCTTCTAAGGAGTCTTGGGAGATAGTTTGCAACCGTACTTTGCCAAAATTGAGTACTCGCCTTGTTCCTTGTTGTGATATGCTAATGCTATATCAGCAGGAATGTGGTCTTTGTACTCATCCAGCAAGAAAACCCGATTGCAACATTTTGGAGAATAAAGACTCTCATCGTTGGTCGCGTGTTCGAAGAAGCTGGCTATGTCGTCTGGGCAGACAAAGTGCGCGCCACAAGGTGCTTTGATGAAGGGATCGTCTTTGCTTTCGTCAGACATGCAGATCACACAGCTCTTAGAATTATCCACGATTTGAGGTAGTTCATCGTCAGAGAGAGGAAGACTGTTGTTCGTGATTAGATTTGCATCGCTAGTGGAGTTGTAGCGTTGTAGAAGCTGTCTAGTGGCAAGAACGCTTGAAAATGCAAATGCAATGTTAACGAAAGGAGTTATGTAATCCATGGAGAAGGTGCGCTTGATATGTAAACTTGAAGAGCTAATATTAAATTGGCTTGGTAAAAGTGATTGCTCGGGTGCAGAGAAGTTCAGGATCAACCTGCGATAACACTGAGATTTTGTATAATGTGGGATAAGAGACAAAACTTGATTCCACAATGTGACTTGGCCTTGATTATTCTTGTGCCAAAATCAAACTATAGTTGAACCACGTAGATCTGAGGGTTCTGATCAAGAACAATCAAGGCATACAAATTGCGCTGCGTGTGGTGCGAGGACACGCTTCTCCACACCCATGGTTAGGAGACTAGGAGTGGATCAGACGAATACAGCAGACCCTCTTGAGTGTTGCGTCTGATTATTGTTTTCATGGTAATCTTGACAGCTAATCGGAATTCAGACACATAGCCTATTGCGAGGATGGAGTTTGCGAGGTGAACAGTCATCGTGAGGATCGCAGTATGGTGGATGGAAATATGAATCAGTTTCGCCAGCACCAATCAGATCGTTTGGGTTACCATTTGAGTGGCATACCTCCGAACTGCAAATGTTTTTGTCATTTCTAATACTCCGTGAGTAAGTTTCAACGGTAGGTGTAGTTTCCGCTTTCTGAAGTTGGTCAAGTATCGTCATGACTGTCTCTGTTTCTCTTGTGCAGGCCGACCTTCTACATCATATAGTTAGAGATTCCTAGTTCTTGAGCAGACTTAGCGTAGCGAAAGTAACAATGAACACACGTACACTGACTTTTGGTCAGAAAGCCACGGTGTTAAATACTGGCCATAACTAACAGTTAAGAAGATTGTTCTCTTGCTACGTGTCTACTCTATGATACTATGTACAAGCTATCTATTTACAACTCCCCCAAAACGCCAGAACACCATGCAGTTATAATAGTCGTTGACTATCTACTTCCTGTCAATCCATCTTCCTCCACCTGATCCAGGCCTGACACCAGCCTTCTTCTCACTGCCCGAGTATTTGGCCTCCTCTTCCTCCCATTTCTTTCTCTCCTGTCGTCTTCTGGCAGAATAAGCCCTAGAGAACCTCCAGGCTTCTGTATCTGCCAAGTTCCATTGCTCTACTGCTTCCACAATCTTCTTCATGTTCTTATTCTTGCTTTTGATGGCGTCGCGAGCTTTGTTGAGGCGTTCTTGTTCCTTTTCAACCCATTTGTCATCAGGTATATCGATGCTTTGAATGGGCTTGGGAGGGCCTGGGCGAGGAAAGATGATGAGTTCGGACTCCTTGCTCGGCGAGCTAGGTTCAGCAGTAGTGGATGCCATCTGGGGCAGGCCAAAACCAAAGACCCAGTCGAGATCATCTTGGGTGATGCGTTCAGCCGTCAACCACAGTGAATGGGGAGGGATGGCTGCCACGAGCTCTTTGAACCTTAGTACGCGAACCTCCTCGGTGTGATCTCCTGGAATAGACTTGTCGGTCAACTTCCGGATCCAGAGATCGCGCTCGGCATTGTTACGCAGGAAGTTACTATCGACTGTATCCCGTGTGTAATGCAACGAAGTAAGCGTGTATGGATGCGGCACAGTACCGATTGTGAAGAACTTGGTAGTGTTGACAAATTCTGGAAAAATTTGGAGTTTCATCGCCTTGTTGGCGTCACATGGCCTGCATTTTGGCCGATTGGGTGGGCAAGTCTTGGGCATTGGAGATGCTGGGCATTGTGTGAGATTGCGTGCAATATTAGTGGCTTCAAACATGAGCGCAGTCGTATGTTCCGGCACTGGCTTCACGATTGTTACACCTTCCGGGTGTTGCTCTTGCCATGTTATATGGAGATGCGAGTTGATGAGACTTTCAAGCAGAGTAAGTGCTTCCGCTTTGGTCGTGTTGGTAAGCTTGTCGGCAATGGTCTTGTACTTGCTGGAAATGGTAGCGGTACTATAAGACGCAATACCGTCAGCCTTGACATCCACTGCCACATCTGCCGAAGCCAGAAGGTTCACGACTGGCCCACCCTCTTTGTTGGCCAGCTTGGTCAACTTGTCCTTGTTAGCCGTGACATTCTTCAACAGCTGATTATCGGCAAGCTTCTTGATAGCATTGTTGACAGCTATTTGCTCGCCGAAAAAGATGGCATTGTCGAGGGACTGGACGCGCGACAACTTAGGATACTCGTTGCGACGCAAAAAGTTCAGCATGGGGTTTTCGTACTCGGCCATGGGCAGAGCAAGCCAATTGACGAGAACACCGCCTTTCATATGCCCCCATGCTAACCAGCGCATGACCTCGAATTCAATTTTTGGATCTAACTTAAGGCGCTGGAAGATTTGGTAGAGCGGGTTGCGCTTAGCTTCATCGCGCGATAGCACTACGGGCTTGAAACCCTGTGCCCACCACGCTCTTCGCCATGCCAAAAGAAGCCTTTGCTCAGCAGCCGATACGTCCTTGTCCTGCTTCTTGGGCACATCATAGTAGGTGTAAATGGGCGGTCGTTCGCGGAGAGGAGGCAGCAGGGCTCTGTTCTCATCGAGAGTCACAGAAGACGAGAAAGGGTTACGCCACTTGAAATCACTCAGCCATTCTATAGCTCCGTATGCACTAGCAGCAGTGCTGTTGGCCTGAACGGGCGGCTTGTGAGGTGAAGGGCCGAACGGATTGGGTACAGCTGGGAGTTGGCCAAGGTCAGGAACGTGTGCTTGCGGGTGCTTAACGGCGTCGGCTACTTGGTCGTAGGTAGGTATGCTTTTGCGCGATGGTGGCCCGTAGAAGACTAGGTTGAAAACGAGAAAGACGAGGATGATGAAGACGGCCTGGAATCTCCGTGGAGGCATGTGGAGCGTCACGGGCCTCCCCATGCAGGTATATTGGATGGGCATGTCGCAATTGAGATACGACGGGGGGAAGGGAGTAGGAGAAGAAGAGAGGACTACCGCGACATTGGCGACATGAGATTGCCCCAGGCAGACTACAAGCCGATATCCGCAGTGGGCCTGAACAAGATGGATGGTTGGTTGGCTGATTTTGGCCCAAATGAGGGCGACGCGTTGTGCTGGCCAGGCAGTCGAGGAGGCACCGGGCTAGCGTACGTAGGGCTGGTGGGCTTGGCATTCACCCCGCCGCCACTGGGTTCCGCGCTGCACTAAACTAGGTCCATGTAAGTGGTGCATACTGGCAGTGGTGTAGTCTAGTGGGGGCGCCGATGTCGCCTGCGCCTCGAGCATTTTGACTGGATGCGTCATACCTCGAGTACTTTTGAACCCTTACACACATTTACTTTCACTTATTCTTCTTCATCCCCCCTCACTATCAATTGCCTCGACTGAGCAGACGGCGAGGCTTGAATTCCGACATATCCGACACGACCTTTTCTTCAATTGTGCCTCTTCAACATTTTTATTCCCCACATGCGCACACGCCGCGCTGTACGCCACTAGATATTTCTTTTAGACATGACAATGGCCTCACTCACAAAGGGGAGCATCCCAGACCCCACGGCAGACCTTCACTGGTCTGACTTCAAGGGCCCGATTCACGAAATATTTGCTAGCAATGCTCGCAAGCACCCCGACCGGCCATGTGTCGTCGAGACTGCCACGGGCAAGACTCCCGAACGCAAATTCACATACAAGCACATCTTTGAGGCCACCTCGGTACTAGCCCATCACCTCGTCCAGAGTGGTGTGCAAAGAGGCGAGGTGGTCATGATCTTCGCCCACCGAGGTGTCGACTTGGTCGTGGCCATCATGGCCGTTCTAGCAGCAGGGGCGACCTTCTCAGTACTAGACCCACTGTGAGTATCGAGTTTCGAGTCTTTCTATTCATGGCTGACAATCTCAAGATACCCTCCAGACCGCCAATGCATCTACCTCGAAGTCTCTCAACCGCGCGCTCTCGTGATCATTGACAAGGCCACACGCGAAGCAGGCCCTCTCTCGGATCAAGTGCGGGACTATATCAAGGACAACCTGCAACTAAGAACAGAGGTGCCTGCACTCGAGCTCAAGGATGATGGCACATTGGTCGGAGGCACCAAGGACGGAAAGGACATATTGGACGAGCAGCAGCAGCTGAGGACCGAACTGCCTGGTGTACTCGTCGGCCCAGACTCAACACCAACTCTCTCCTTCACGTCGGGATCCGAAGGAAAGCCCAAGGGCGTCAAAGGCAGACACTTTTCGCTCACTCACTACTTTCCCTGGATGACCGAAATGTTTGGACTATCTGAAAATGACAAGTTCACAATGCTTTCTGGCATCGCCCACGACCCTATTCAGCGAGACATCTTCACACCTCTCTTTCTCGGTGCCCAATTACTTGTGCCAAGTAAGGAAGATATACAGCACGAGAAACTCGCCGAGTGGATGCGCCAGTATGGCGCCACCGTCACCCACCTCACACCCGCCATGGGTCAGATTCTTGTCGGAGGTGCATCAGCCGTGTTCCCCAGCCTTCATCACTCCTTCTTCGTGGGTGATCTGTTGATCAAACGAGACTGCAGGAGACTGCAGAATCTGGCACCAAATGTGCGCATTGTCAACATGTACGGGACTACGGAAACACAACGCGCTGTCAGCTACTACGAGCTGCCCAGTTGCTCAGAAGCGCCCGACTTCCTTGATACCATTGGTGAAGTTATACCCGCTGGTCGAGGAATGAGCAACGTGCAGCTCTTAGTTGTCAACCGCGAAGACCGAAACCAGATCTGCAAGCCCGGTGAAAGCGGTGAAATCTATGTGCGGGCCGGTGGTCTTGCTGAGGAATACCTTGGATTGCCAGACCTCACAGCTACTAAATTTATCAACAATTGGTTCGTGGATCAGCAAAAGTGGATAGACGAGGATAAGAAACAGGTTGAGAGTCAGGGCGCCCCCGAGCCGTGGCGGGAGTTTTACAAAGGTCCCCGAGACAGACTATATCGGTCTGGAGATCTGGGCCACTATTCTGAAGATGGAAACGTCCACTGCACAGGGCGAGTAGATTCGCAAGTCAAGATTCGCGGCTTCCGCATTGAACTTGGCGAAATCGACTCGCATCTCTCTGCTCATCCGTTGGTGCGTGAAAATGTTACACTGCTCAAGCGTGACGCCTACGAAGAGCCGACGCTCGTCAGTAAGTTGGAGTCTTGTATTCTTGCTCCCAGATTATAACTGACATGACAGGCTACATTGTTCCTGAGATGAAGCGATGGTATGACTGGCTGGAGGAGCGTGGTGCGAAAGAAAGCGATTCCACCAGCGACACAAGCATGGTGACGCTGCTCAAACGCTTCAAATATCTCCGAGACGATGTGCGTGAGCATCTCAAAAAGAAACTGCCTGCATACGCTGTGCCATCAGTCATTGTTCCACTTGTCCGGTTTCCACTGAATCCAAATGGCAAGATTGACCGGCCGGCACTGCCTTTCCCGGATCCAGCAGACCTTGCGGCTGCAGGAGCTAGGCGTCCATCGCAGTTGGGTGCAGCTCTGACGCCGACTGAAAAAGCCATGGCTAGGATCTGGGCTGAGCTCCTTGGTGATCGTGGTGTAACAGCTGACAGCATTGGCGGAAGTGACTCGTTCTTCGACCTTGGCGGACACAGTATCATTGCACAGCAACTCTTCTTCAAAATCCGTCAAGAATGGAAAGACATTGACGTACCCATGACGACAATTTTCCAATATCCTACACTGCGCGGTTTCTCGGCAAACATTGATCAAGCCATGGACCCTATTGGATTGCGTCTTGACACGGCTGAGGCATTGGAAGACGATCCTGATGATGAGGCGTATTCTGCCGACGCCAGAGACCTTGCCAATAAACTGACCGAGTTCAATACCAGGGAGGAGTTGAATCCAAAGGAAGAAGTGCATACCTTCCTCACTGGCGCAACGGGTTTCTTGGGTGCCTACATCTTACGGGACATTCTGTCGAGACCAGGAAAGGTCACTGTACTTGTGCGTGCTCAGGACATTGATGCTGCGCTGGGACGTGTAAGGCAAACGTGTACAGCATACGGAATCTGGGAAGACGGGTGGGAGTCGCGACTGGAGCCTCTGGTGGGTGATTTGGAAAAGGAAAACTTTGGACTTGAGGCGAATACGTGGAACAAGCTCGTTGACTCGGTCGACGTGGTCATCCACAATGGTGCCTTGGTGCACTGGGTGTTGCCCTACTCACGCTTGCGAGGACCCAATGTCTTGTCGACCATGACTGCACTGTCAATGTGTGCTGCTGGCAAAGCCAAGAAGTTTGGCCTTGTCAGTTCGACGTCGGTGCTGGATACGGATTACTTTGTCAGCCTCTCAGAGAAGAGTCTCGCCGAAGGTGGAACCGGTGTACCCGAGGCGGACGACCTCGAGGGTGCACGCAAGGGTCTTGGTACTGGCTATGGTCAGTCCAAATGGGCAGCCGAATACCTGACGCGCCAAGCTGGCAAGAAGGGTCTAAGTGGATGTGTGATTCGACCTGGATATGTCTTGGGAGATCCAGAATATGGTACTACAAACACGGACGACTTCCTTGTCCGAATGCTCAAGGGCTGCATTCAGCTCGAGTCTAGGCCCGACATCACTAACACAATCAACATGGTACCTGTCACACACGTTGCGAGGGTGGTTGTGGCGTCGTCGTTTAACCCGCCAGTTGCACCGCTTGGGGTGGCGCAAGTGACTTCACATCCGCGTATCACGTTCAACGAGTTCTTGGGTGCGTTGGAGAAGTTTGGCTACAACGTGCCTCTGGTGCCGTATGCAGAGTGGAAGCAGAGGATGGAGAGTTATGTTGCTGACCGGTCAGGGACAAAGGAAGAGAATGCTCTACTGCCCCTGTACCACTTTGTGACTGGAGATCTACCTGCCGACACCAAGGCGCCGGAACTGGATGACAAGAACGCGGCGGAAGCGTTGAAGAAGGACCAGGAATGGACAAGCGAAGATTGGAGTCAAGGAGGAGCGGTGACGGAAGATACGGTTAGCGTATATGTCAGCTACCTGATTGAACTAGGGTTTATGCCCAGGCCGGAGAAGAAGGGTATCAAGGAGCTGGTCATGAGCCGGTTAACGGATGCGATGCGTGAGGGGATGAAGCTTGTAGGCGGGCGGCGAGGTGTTTGAGAAGTAGTATGCCAAGGAGGATGACAGATCTGGGCATTACCAAAAGTAACAAATATCTAAGAAATGCACATTTGATACGTAAGAAGAGAGGAATTGAAGTGGCGAGCCACGTCTATTGTTTAGCCATTGAGGCGGTAATGTTTACAGAGTGCTTTGACCCTGGAGATCTGCTGACCTGAAATCCGAGACGAGGGTGAGATTAACACAGGCTTGTACCGTACCCGCACAAATAAGGTTTGTGTTGGCCAAAACGGCCATAGTACGGCCAACGTGCACACATGAAATGGATATGAATAGATAGGTACGTAGGAGTGTAAAGTAGGAGTACTACTCCGTGGATAATACGCAAAAGGATGACGTCGAATGGATACGCGGCCTGGAGTCAAGAGGGGGGATAAGTAGTGGGGGTCGGAATGGTCGGCACTTGGTATGAGACGGGCAGAGCACGGGGCAGATAGGCAAAGGGCTTGGGCCCACGGCTCTGGCATGTTTTTTTCTTCCTTTGTGCGTCGACCAAGAAGCCCAGACAGAGGGTGCCGAGAAAAAAAAAAGGTGGGAAGAGTTAATATTTAATTGACCGAACGGGTGACAGGCCAGCTGGCGGCGTTTAGTGGGTATGGGGGAAGCGTGCTGAGGGCTTTTTTCGCTCCTGGCGTGCCAACAGCCAAGCCCAAGATCAACAAGACAGACGTGGTTTCATCGACGCCTAGTAGGGCCCGGCCTGAGGGCTCAGCCCAGCCCGGCCGATAGCCCAGACAAGCAGCTTGGAAGCATTTCATTCCCACCAACAGCCACGCCGCTGAGGGCGCTCCAGTGCTCCGCCGTGGGGAAGAAGGTTGGACGAGAGAGGATGCGACGTGAGAGGTCGGAAGTAGGAGGGTGTGGTATCTAGTAGGATAGATGGATGTATGGATGTATGGATGTATCTGGGTGCATGTATAGTGTGTACTACCTATGTACAAACACAAGTAGCTACCACAGTACTAGATACATGGACAGTGGACGGCTGCACCCATGGTACACGGTCACGAGACGGATATTTCCAACGAGGCGGGAATTCAACAAACCTTGGGGCGCAGCATCAGCCAGCAGCGGAGGCCATCGAGAGACCGTGGCAGCGCTTCTGGAGGCAGCTTGGCGGCGGGGTGTGTGTGTGTCGACGAGTAGTAGTGGTGGTGGTGCGTGGAGACGGTGAATTGGGCCCAGCAACGCAGCCAGCCAGACATAATCCTAGAGAAGTGCTGCTCAGCGTTGCTCAGCATGGCCGAGCCATGGTCTTTGACATGTCACTGCCGCGCATCCCGTCGGCGGGCTTGTTGTAGCGGCGTGTGCAGCAGAGTTGCGCTGCGTCCGCCCGCGCCCGGGTAGAGCGGGTGTGATTGGGTGTGGGCGGGTTTGGAACGGGCTGCCGAGCAGATTGCCCAGGCTTGGGGATGAATGCCAAGCCCAAGACTTATCCCAAGGCCTTGAGAGCGCAATTCTATGTAACAAGAGTCTTGCCTCTCCTGGGGCCCGTCTCCGCTGCTCGCTATAACATGCCCGCTGCCTCGTTGTCCTCGCATGTCTTCCAGCGTCGCTTGATGCCCGTCCGCCCGTGACGTTGACCCGACCGACTGCCGGCAATGGAATCCCAGCTTCCGCCGCCGCCTGCTTCGGCCATACTCGCGCCCCCCAGCCAACACCACCAACCACAGCCGCAACATTACCACCGCCTGTCCAGCCCTGCCGCCAACTGCGACTACGACTACACCTACCAATACAATGAAAAGGATCACCACCACCACTCCTCGGCCCACTCAGACCGCCTGAGCAGGTCGAGCAATCGCCGCCCTCACGACTCCGTCATCTCCCACCCCTTCTCGCCAAAGCCCTCGTCGCCGCCAAGCCCCAGCAGCAACAGCAGCATCTCCTCCGTCGGCCACCATCGCAACTCATCAAACGCGCATCGCTACTCATCTTCGCAGCTTGAGCGCCAGTCACTCTCCTATCCACCCCAGGCCCACATCGACCCGGAGAAGCATGCCGAGGCTCTGGCTCATGGCTACCGCGCTCCAAACCGCCTGTCTGCAGTCCCGTCCGGCGGCGATGCCATTGTTTACGACAAGGGCGCCTACCAAGAAAAAGGCCCCGAAGAGAAGGCGTGGCAGTTACTGGTAAGGAAAATCCCATATCGCAACTCACTTGACGTGCTCGTAACTAACATGGCCCCCCTTAGCTCTGGCTCTGCGGACCCTGCGCCTTCCTCTCCGCTGTGATTGCTATCTGGACCTTTTGCGCTCTCTTCATCACCCTCTTGCTATCGCCGCTACGCCTCTGCACTACGCGCGCGCCCCTTTCCGAGCAAATCAAATCCTTCCTCGCTCCATCGCTAAACCTCCAATTGCACATGGTCTACTCACACGACTCGACATCCGGCTACAGCGCCCCCATGCTGGTCGTCATCCACCTCTTTTCGCCCATCGTCGCATTCGGCGTCGCAATCGCGGCCTGGACTGCCGCGGGTTTCTGGTTCTTCTCCTGCATTCTTGGTGACCCTGGCGGTCACGACGGCCACAATGACGGCCGCGAGAGCATTGTCGGTGTGCGAAACTGGTGGGAGCGATGGCTTTCTCGCGGACTAAGAGAAACCGATGCTTGAAACAAAGAGGAGTATGAAATGTATTATTGATCAAGTTCGTTTCTTTCATGTATTTTCTGTTTTTTTGTTTCCACGTTCTCCGAGCTACGGCAGGATGGAGCGTTCCAGCGGCATATACCATGGCGTACAACAGTCTGGGTTTGGGTTTTATTTTCCAAATGGGAAAGGGTCTCTCTGGATGGACGGACGGACGGACATGAATGGGGTGTGAAGAATATTGCTGATCTCGGGATATGGACAGCAACCGGCGTTTTATTTTTAATGTTCTCTTTGAGCCTCTTTTCCCCTTGCCTCTACTCTGGAGTCGCAGAGAGTACTAAGGTGGGAAAAAGATTGCCGATATGATATACCCCCATAACCAGTTTTTTGTACTTGAACAATATCACGAACATATTCAAACAACACTGTTTCGCTTCTTTTCTCCGCTCTAATCACAGTGTTTCTGATCTTGCCCACCCTCACACCGCCTCGACCTACCTTCCTCCCTCTCTCCACCGGAAACTTTCCACTTTGGGCGCCCAGCAAAAACCGTCTTTCTTGTCCTTCAAACGCAAAGCCGCTACCCGGATATAATATCCATTCCCCCCCCCCCCCCTCCCTCCAGACCCACCCATCCAACTCACGAGGCAAGCTGCTTATCGCGGCATTTGCCATGTCACTCTACATACACACATACTGAACTTACCTAGCTAACAATGACACGAAATAAAGTTACCCATCCCCAGATCCACCCTTACCCCCCGATTCCCCATGCCATGCAAGTGCAATATGAAAGTAAAGAAACAAAGCAGAAAATCACTCACTTCATCCGGGCCTAGGCGTAGAGGTACATGCATGTGCATGTTGCATATTGCCCTTTTTCTTAAACTGGTCTAGAGGGAGCGAAGAAGGGGAAGGGGGTTCTTTGGTGTCATGCGTGTGTTAGCGGAAAGGTAGGGGCATAACATGGGTAGCGGAAGTAAAAAGCAATGAAAGTGAACAAAGAAGGGGGGAAGGAAGGGAAACTTGTTTTAGACGAAAAACTTGTTTTCTGATGGGTAGATTTGCTTTTTTGGATGAGGAAGAAGAGAGGGAAGGGGGAGGCGGCCGGGGAAGAGAAGATGAGAGCTAGGGTGTGTGGGTATTTTGGTACAGGATGGGGAAATAGATGTGCTATAGCAGCTTGGTGGACGGCCTCTTTCTGGTTAGCTTTGTTGTTGTGAGCAAGCGCTTTTTTCGTCTCAATGTTTTGGGGCTTTATTTTTTTGCTTTTGTGTGTGTCTTCTGGGAGGCGTGACGGAAGGGTACAGTAGTTGCGATCGGAACATTATCATGGAGGCTGGGGACAGTTGAGTCTGTTGAGGTGATCGTCCGAAGAGAAAGATACGAGGCAGTTTATGCGTTCTGAATGCGTGTCTTTGACATCATATCTGTAGATGGAGATGCATGACGCAGGGCTGAGGCGGGAAAAGGATGGTATGGCTTGGCACTGCAATACCTCTCTTTTTGTTTTCTTCTTGCTTCTCCATATGCTGTGAAACCATCGGACGAAGGGAAAAAGAAAAATAGAGACGTCGTAGACCCTAAGAATAAACGCTCCATAACTTGTTTAGAGGTATTCCCTTAATTCCTACAGTTGGTGTACTTACATGTCGCACGTGACTTTTTCCTACACCTTCCTATGTAGTGCATACCTACATGCGTACACAAGCACACACAGACACGTACCTCTACCCCAGACCCCACACCACGTCATTCCTCTCCTCGCCTTCCCTCGCTAAGATTGCCTGCTTACTTACATATCTCCATCTCACCGCCTAGGCGCCGAAGGAATACGAGAAAGCCCCGAGTCAAGCATGCATACCTACACAAACCGTGTTTGTATGAATCTGCATGATCACCAGAATAAAGTTCACATGTAGAGCTCACATAAGACCGACTTTTCCGGTGGCCTGATGATCTTGAAATGATAACACTGGGCAAACTTTATCTTCATTTCACAAATCGGGGAAATCAGGCTTGGTAGAGGTGGAAGAAGGATAGGTGCTGACATATTATTCTGAGATGGTCAGCAGATTTAACGGTCGAGTATCATAAGTCTGAATCGAGCGTTGAATACGATTCTTTTGCCCAGAACCTCATCTTGGCTTTGATGCGTGTTTTTACTCATAATACGGCCGCATCGATTAACATAGTCGGAAAAACGGCATTCGTGACTTGGCCATCTCGCATACATCTCCCTCTTCCAGATTAGACTACAAGAGAAATATTCACATCTACACTTAAACATGTCTACAACACCTTTCCAGCGATGAACAAAGAAGAAAGAGAATGAAACTCGGAAGCAAATTTACCTCCAAGCCCGAAAGTAGCACCGACCAGCAAAAAAAAAGTCAAACAACTAACTAGCTATGCAAAAAAAAAAGCACAGCCATCACGAGCAGTAACAACTTACTCGAGCGAGACACAGCAAAGAAAGTGGGACCCCAAAACACCACCACTCCATTTAGCGACACGTACGATGACGCCGATGACGCCAGGGTACATCCCTGCTCACCACAAGTGTGGGCCTGTGCAGAGAATGACAAAAAAAAGGATGAGAGGGTTAATCGTTGTAAAATGACGATGTTCGGTAAGTGAAACGTGACAGTTGTGACAGCTCGTTAGCTATCTGTGTGAGAACAGGCTGAGACAGCTAGAGAAGGACAAGGGAGGCATGTATGTCATAGATGCATAATTATTTTTTCCCATACATATATATAAATTGACATTTATGTCGATATGTAATCTATATATTGTTGCTAGCATGTACACATATGTATATGTATAAGATGCTAAGTCTCGAGTCGCTCTTTTAAATCGCTCCAGGTTGTTCATAAAAGACATTACTGCATTAGACATGATTTAATACAAAGGGTTGAAAAAAAGGGCTCCGGAGCAAAAGCTACCGTAGAACCTTGGAAGAAAATAGTGACTGGGACACTGTAAAGTTATCCAGCAGTCTCTTTAAAGAAAGATACTTGACCTCTACCGTACTCGAGACTGCGGAGAATGCGCCGCGGTACACGTCTTCAGCTGCGTTTAGTATAGGGATAGCGCCAGCTACTACATATCGCTTGTCGCTAACTCCATATGGCGTAACACAGCATGCCGGACGCCCATCGGTCCCAGCCGTTGCCTTTGTATAATTGTTCTCGCCCAAGATGCCAAATCGTGTCGTCGTTTCGCTTTCGCATTGCCGAAATATTAATCCATACAACGCACTTCGCGTATGGTTATCCGGCTGCCCGCCCTTCTGTGCTGTTTGCCACGCATAGTCTCTCGCGCTATGCAGTTCTTCAGACACTGTTCTACGAGTAAAGGATCCGCCTCGATGATTTCCTCATTCAAGAACCAACTAGATGTTGACTTTGTAATGGACAGCCGCAGACAGCTTCGGTCGCTGCCAATTTGCTTTTGAAAGAAGTGGTCGAGAAAGGCGTAGGAATCGTCAAATGTCTTGTAGCAGCTGTTGCATGCAAATGTCGCTTTGTCGTCTCTTGAAACTGGATCCAGTGCGATATGTGATGTGAAGAGAATGCACCTGGACGCCGGCAGTCCAGAATGTGCTGCAACAGATATACACGCGCTGCAGTGGGGACATATTTCTCGGTCGTCGTACTTGTCGTGTGGATACGCTTTCTTTGCTCGTAGAGTGCTGGTTTTGGTTTCCTTGAGGTCCTTGCGAAGTTGGTCTGCAAATGGACAGAATTCGACTTTGAATCGTGGCGGGGGAAGTACTGGCGAGAGAATGGGTGTCTCGAGGCGGGCATATTGATCGCGTAATGCAGTTAAACAGGCGCGGCGTACGCTCTTTGCAGTTGTGATGATGTCGTCAATGGGTGTGATTGGTGTTGCTGAGAATGCACTGTCGTACAGCGGCTGTCTGATTTCGTATTGAACTCGGAGCAGTTGTGCAGAGAGCACAGTGTTGCATTTTTCTGTCCGTGGTCAACACGTGTGTTTACAAGCTGCAAGACATGGCTTACGGTCTCCTTCCTCAAACCGCACGCCGAATGCATCTTTCCCCGCTTCCATTATTCTCTGAACCTGGCGTCCAAGGCTCAAAGCTTTCCCCATAGCATCGTCTCGATTCTTGGTACCAAAGCACACCCACTTGGACCGAGAGCGGCGATGACGTGCCTGCCATTGCTCGTATGCCTCGTGTGCATCTTGGAAGACACGATCAATGTCCCACAGTGTGAGGGACGTGTGCTGTGACTTTTCGGGAGACATGGCGATTGTTGTAGACATTATGTAAAAAGGATATAGAGTCTTAAAGAAAAAAAGAATATAGAGTTCGTTATAGAGAGAGCAGAGCAACTAAATGGAGGGCGAGGATGACAGGTGAAACGTCTAAACAGGATGAATGGGTATGTTTAATTAGGGCGGCCCTACCGGAAGTGGATGAGTCGCAACAACAACAATCTTGTTTGGGACAACAGCCACAGACGAATGATGCCAACCGGGATCAAGGCTCGTGTGCATGCGGGAGGGCGGTGCGCTGGCCTTTAGATAGTTGCAGCTGCTAAGCACCGTGTCATGTTCCTGCAGGTGCCCTAACAGAAGTAGGAAAGCTGAGAAGAGCGGAGATTGCGCGCATGAAGATTGTCGTATTTGTGGCGCACCTCGGCAGTATTGGACGAGGTCGCAGCCCCGGCGAAGTCTCCGCTGAGGTGAACGTGCTTTGCTTTTAGAGCCACTTATGGCGGCGTACGCGAACCCTCTAGCGTTACAGCTGGCGAACTACGGGACCGGATGGGCACGATAACCGGGTCCATGGAATGCAGGCATACAAATCCGTGCATGTGCATATCATAAGAGGCATGTAGTCGGCGGATCGTGATGAGGTTGGCTGTGAGTGCACAAGAATAAGGGAGAGATGGAGGGAAAGGGAAGGGGAAAGGGAAAAAAGGGGACAGCGGGACACATGGCTGTGAGGCGCCATCGGTCCGGCCAGTCCCCGTCTGACTCCCGTCTGGAGCAAAATGACTGCTTCTGTTGTGGTGATGATGAGCGGCTTGTCCTTAAGATCGGCTTTATATACGGCCTTGTCCCATGTATTGGAAAAAGAAGACATTTTCCGCGTATCATGTAGCATGTACGTCCTGCTAGTTCTGGAATAATGGAATGATAGCAATAATAAGGGACCCTCCCGTACTTACCGCGCCAGGGGTGTTGGAGAACCAACCCCGCGTCAGCTTCCCATGTGCCCCACCATGGAGAACCTCGAGCTTCATTTCCTCTGGCAAGCATCCCCTCTACTAATCCGTCTTATTACCCTCAGCCCGTCCGGAAATGTCGCACAGCCACTCTCATGATGGTGCGTCGCATTCGCACTCTGCCGCCGACCACGGGCATACCCATGAGATCCTCGACGGGCCGGGCAGCTATGTGGGACGTGAAATGCCAATCATCGAGGGACGAGATTGGGAGGACCGGTCGTTTACCGTTGGAATTGGAGGGTACGACTCATTCCCATTTGGCTCAATTTTAAGTAGACAGCGAAGCCATGGCAAGACACCATATAACACAGAGAAATACTGACACAAGTAGACCCGTAGGATCCGGAAAGACTGCCCTTATGCTGGCTCTCTGCAAGCATCTCCGAACACGCTTCTCCATAGCCGCAGTGACCAATGACATCTTCACCCGCGAGGACTGCGAGTTCCTGACCAAGAACAATGCTCTACCCGCGTAAGACCGTTTCAGCATCTCCCAGGACCAACCCTCTCTGACCCATACCCACAGCGAGCGCATTGTCGCCGTCGAAACCGGAGGCTGCCCCCACGCGGCTGTCCGTGAAGACATTTCCGTGAACCTTATGACTCTGACCAACCTCCACCACAAGTTCAATACCGACCTGCTCCTCATTGAATCCGGCGGTGACAACCTTGCCGCAAACTACTCGCGCGAACTCGCCGACTTCATCATCTACGTCATTGATGTCTCAGGAGGCGATAAAATCCCCAGGAAGGGTGGACCTGGTATCACACAGTCAGACCTGCTGGTCGTGAACAAAATCGATCTTGCTGAGGCTGTAGGCGCGGACCTCAATGTCATGGAGAGGGACAGCAGGAGGATGCGCGAAGGGGGGCCGACCATTTTCGCCGTTGTAAAGAGGGACCAGGGTGTCGACGCCATTGTGGATTTGATTCTGTCTGCGTGGAAGGCTTCGGGCGCGACACAGGCACGCAAACAAAAGTTTGAGCCTACCTTGATGAGTGAAGAGGGCAAAGAGAGGAGCTACAGCATGAACTGATGTAAAAGTCATGAGAAATAGCAAAGAAGTTTAATCATTCATGAGGGTGGATCAAGATGACGTTGACTCACTTACAAATCACCCCTGAATCCATAACCAGTATCCGACCGTACCAGCCATCTGTGCTGCATATTCAATTCACTTTTCGACTACCAAGCGGTACCACCAATCTGCCCGCATTCTGGCAACCCAAGCACCTCCCCATAGCCTAGCGCCTCACGCCGCCCATGGCCTCTCGTAACGTCTCCAGACCCTTCTCCAACATGGCCCTCCTCGCTTCCAGATGAGCTCTCTACTGAGTCAACTCGAGAGGCTCAGCAGCCACATACTCAACCTGCTCATCTGTCATCTGTGTCACCACCAGCGGAGAGAGGATGATCTCAGGTAGCGGCTCCACCAAATGCCGCTCGATAACCGACTTTGCGACAGTATTGATGAAGTACCCCAACTCATCCTTATAATACGCCCGCTGCATATCCAGCGCCTCCTGGCTCGAAAAAGTATCTATATCCAACTCGATCGACTGCTCCAACTGCGCCGCCAACTCAACCGGATCAACAAAATAACGAGTATTGTCATCATTGTAATCCTCGGCCTTCTCCGAGGCAGATGTCGCAGCCTTGGTAAGCGCCTGATGCTTCCTGAGCCGCATCTTCTGAATCGTCGACGTAAAATAACGATTATACGTCGACAGATGCCTCGCCTTATCTCTTATCACCTTGGCCAACTCCTCCTTCGCATCCCCCAGCGACTTGCTCAGCGCCGCATCCACATTCAGTGCTACAAGCCGCTCCTTGAACTCCTCCGGGACGCAGTCGGCAAGTACCACGTCGATGAAGTCGCGGCACACTTGCGCCACGTTGGATATGTGCAGCGACGCGAGACCCTCCCAGGGTAAGGATTGCTCCCAGAAGAGCCGGGATATGAGCACGGGTTGAAAGGTACCGGGGAGTTCGTAGCCGCGGGAGCGCTCGAGTGTTTTTTTTTCACCCACTCGACTGCTTCTGTGCGGGTCAGCTTTTGAGTCACAGGAAGGCATGTTGTGCTGTCCTTTTCTTGTTTGAGTTCGCGCTCAAGTTCCCTTTGGGCCTCGAGATTCTCTCTGCAATCCCCGCTCGTCGTCGCCAGGTCCAGCTTCGAAATTGTAACCGTGGCCGCGAAGTCGCATGTCCTTTGCGAAACCCATGTTGAGGTGCTGGACCACGGCGCGGAATCTACGGATGTTTTCTGAAGAGTCGACGGCGGCGTCTTTGTTGATGGTCCCGAAGAAGGGCGACTCGTAATACCCCTTTGTAGCTGATTTCAAGATATCGTTTACTTTCATGCTAATTTTCATGAGGAATACTCGTTGTTCATAGCTGGTGTTGCGTTTTTCGCCCAGATTGGATATTTCATCCAGTGTGGCGCGGTACTTGGTCATCATTTCTTCCTTGAGTGATGGTAGCTCTCGGATTAGGTGGTGTAGTAGAACTTTGCTGAGACGCTCGTGGAGGGAGGTGATGCCTATGCATTCGCGAGGCAGTCTTCAACATGTGCCAGCAGTGTTCAAGATAGATGTCTTTGTTCTGGGCAAGTTCGATCTAGCTCAACTCGTTGTCGGTGCCCTCGCGAAGAAAGTCTGGTTTGGTGATGATGGCGAGAGTGCGACGGCCTTGCTCATCGATCTTGCGACAGTGATCGAGGATGATTTGGTTGGCGAAGTTGTTCTTTGCACTCACTACAGCCAGGACGATGGTGCGCGGGTTCTTCATGTACTGGCTAACGAGGTCCAGAATCAGTTCCTTGTCCGCTTCCGTCTGGGCCTTGTTTGTCGCATGAATAAGATCAGGAAGATCAACAAGAGTCCTGGATGATATTAGTTCGTCATAACGTCAATCTTGGGGAGCAGCACTGACAGCTGAGGCCTACTAGGACCCGTAATCTCAACAGACAGCACATCGCGAGAAAACGCTCTGGAGCTGATACCGCCTACAAAACCTAGGCCCATGGCGAGAGTCGCTTCTTCAATCACATCCGGGAGCTGATCAAAGTTCTGGATCGACTTGGTGAACCCCTTGAATTTCGCTTGTTCAGATTATGGGCGCAGTTTGTCAGGAGTGATCGTGACAGTACTCATCGAAGACGGGGAGCGGCGAAGGATGATCTGTATTGTTAGCCCAGTGTATTGTCTCCAGGTATCATCAAACTCACCTCAGTGGAAAATCGTGTGCAGAGGTTTTCCTAGCGAGGAAATGGAATCTCAGTGATCGCCTCTAGCACTGAACTCTTCCCAGACGACTGATCACCGCACACAATGAGCTGAGGCAGTTCCACCACTCCGCTCAAACCGGTGCGACGAAGCTTGTCCACAATGTCCATGACCCTACGCTGATCCGCCCACTCAATAGCTTGTAGAGAGCTCTTCGTGACTGCATCTGGATCAACTGACATGGGGGTGACTGGGGTTTTAGGCCCCTTGTGATCGGTGTCGGTGTCGTTGCCCATGGTTGCTATCAACTCCTGGGGTCCGATTTGGGTAAAGAGTTGTGTTGTAGCAGTAGAGACTGAATCGAAGAGGGGCCTTTTGAGTGGTAGGATGGGGACAGTGAGCTGAAGGCAGCTGCGTTGAATGTAAGTGTAAAGTTGCTAAAGAGCAAACACGCATGTCTCCAGCCCAGTCGCAGAACCGGACGGATGCATCTGCACACAATTTAGAACAACATGTTCATCCGGCAGGTTCCAGGATATTGCAAGCAGACACCATATACCCGAGAACAACAAACGTAAAGGAATCCGATGCAATGACAGTTATTCACTCAATATTTCCAGAATCATGTCCAGAACCGGATAGGATACAAAAATACAATCCATTTGATAAACGAGAACGCTACGAACTGACAAAATAAAGATACACGCACAATTACAAACAGCCTATAGTTTTGCACCGCCCTGATCCTTGTTTGCCTGTAGCGTATCCCAATCAGCCATGGTATACACAACATAACCGCCTTCAGCACCCTTGCCCTTGGTAGCTCCGAGCAAAGTTGGGTTCCAGTAGATGGTGTCGTATTCAACTTGGTCCTTGCCCTGCTCCTTTGCCTCCTTGTCTGCCCTCTCCATCAACTTCCTCAGGTCAATTCCATCGTTTCTCAATGGGACCTTGTTTTGCTTGTTGTTGTGCATGGTAGTTTGCTGCTTCTGTATCCTCAAAAAGACAGGAACTGCGTATTTGGGCAGCTTTGCGCTCGCATGCGCAAGTAGTGCGTTGAAGTCAAACGAGTCGCGGTGTGCAGGGTCAATTAAGATGGCCGCACAGCCTGCTCGGCCGTCGTAGCCTGGTACCTCAACACCATAGACGTTCGCTTCTTGGATACCGGGGAATGATCCAAGGACTTCACTGACTTCGGCTGTGCTGACGTTTTCGGATTTCCAGCGGAAAGTGTCACCAAGACGGTCCATGAAGAACCATCGGCCGTCAGCGTCACGACGAAGGGCGTCACCTGTGCGGTACCAGAGATCACCCTTCTTGAAGACATTACGTTCAAAGCGCTTCTCGGTGGCTTCGGGGTTGTTCCAGTAGCCAACAAAGGCATCCTCGCTGGGCATCTGAACAAGAATCTCGCTACCCTCCTCGTACGACTTGCGTTTACAGAAGCCAGTCTTGGGGTCGCGGAGGAGATCACCAGTGACCATATCGACCTCAACCGGAACATAGGTGTTGTGGAATCGCCAGCGGTCAATGAGACCTTGATGTCCGACTGAGGTGGCTGTAAAGGGTCCGCGAGAACCATTGAAGAGCGCCATAACACCTTCTGTGCTGTTGAAGAACTCGCCAACAACTTCGATACCGAAACGATCGACGAAACGTTGCCACACATCTGGACGAAGACCATTTCCAAACATGGCTCTGACATTGTGCTTTTTATCCATATCACTTGGAGGAGCGTTGAGGAGGTAACGGGCTGTTTCTCCAACGTACACGATGGCGGTAGACTTGCAGTCACGCACGTCGGTCCAGAATCTCGATGTGGAGAACTTGGTGCCAATGCAGCAGGTAAGACCAGTAATCATGCACACGAGTGCGGTGGTACCTCCGGTGCCGTGGTATAGAGGCATGCAAACATACCATCGGTCGCCATTAGGTCCTGGCTTCAGGCCCATGGCACCTACGCGACCTGTCAAACCGGCCGCTCTTTCCGTGGGGAATGGGCAGGCTTTTGGGTGTCCAGTCGTTCCACTGGTATTGTCAGCCCCTTACTTCTCTGAAAGAACGTATAGTAGTGACCAACCTTGTGTAGAAAATGAAGAGAGGGAATTTGCCCTTTGCGCCTACTCGAAGGGAGTCTTCTGGCCTCTTTGGCTCCGACCTTGAAATCTCGCCCTTTAGATTGTTGTCCAGAATCAAGATTGTCATGCCGAGTTCTTCCTCCAACTTTTGGCGGATGTCTTCTATCCTTTGCCTGCACTCTTGCTCTTCGTCGACGAGCACCACCTTGGCACCGCTTACTTTCAAGCAGTGAAACAGCGAATCACCCGCCAAGTTGTAGTTGATCCATGCCGGGGCACTTCCTATGCTCCAGCTGCCCAAATGAGCAAACAAAAACTCGGGTCGGTTCATCATGTACATGGCGAAGAGCTGTCCGGGCACGACGCCATGCTGGTGGAGGTATTGGCCATAGCGACAGGCGTTCGCATAGGTTTCGGCCCAGGTGTAGCATCCGTTACGAGACCAGATGCATTCTTCATTCGAGGGGAGACGGCGGACTTGGCTTTCGAATTGGTACCAGAGAGATTGGCCTTTGCCTCGAGCTGCGGGACTATTAGTAAAGGGTGATGTGAGCACACAAACAGCCCAAACTTACAGTTCTTCTCTATTCCACGCGCTGCTGCTTTTTGACCGCGAATGCCTGCGATATCTTTGGAGATGTGGTATTTGGCGTCGATGTATGCGGCAGCAGCAGTAACGCCTGCAATGGCGGCGCCTGCAACGGGTGCTAGAAAGACTGGGTTAGCTGGGATGTGCAACAACGCGCGCCGCAACAGCTCAACAGCATGGAGAATACTCACCAAGATCCTTGATATCCATAATGATTTCTTCAAACCTGTTAGGAAATATACAAGACTGTGAAGAAGAGGGAAAAATAATGTAAGCAGGCGATCGGAAAATGGAGATGTCCCAAAACGTGCGCAATGCTTCTTGATAACGTGCGACACGTCCGTCCGCAACGTGATCAATTGCCGGTATGCCCTCGGCCTCTACGCGCGCCGCCCCAACCCCAGGAGCCACCCCACGTGCCGGGAGCCCCACACGCCTCTCCGTGTCTCGTCTCCGGTTCCATCGTGCGGCTCTGTATGTACTTGCCTTGCGAGTGACAAGGAGACTATGGTCAATAGCTATTTGAGATGCTGGTTTCTTGAAGTGACATGGTGATCTAAGAAGCTGCAATCACCCGCAAGCATGGGTCTCCTAATCACCGTAGACTTTCAACAGCTTCAACAAGCGCCTATACTTTGATCTGCAAACGCTTTGAACATCATTTTTCCAGTCGTGAATGTAACATTTCGTCCCACAATGCCTGCACACACCAGCTTCCCTAAAGTCGGCTGGACGTACCTGTTTGATTTGCTAGCCCTCGGTTGCCAGGTCGGTAGTTTGTATCCACTAAGCCGGATTAATCATCCTTGGCAGGTCCCAGCCTGACTGAGGTCTAGAATCAACCTTTAGGATATTTACGTTTAAATTATCTTAACTTACATCAAAACAGGGCTCGGTGGTGTAGTTGGTTATCACGTCAGTCTAACATCCTGTTAGGCACACTGAAGGTCCCGAGTTCAAACCTCGGCTGAGTCAAAAGCCGGAGCTCGTTATGAGCTTCACTCTCCTTTTTGCACATTCTACATCGTATCCATTGTAATGGGTGTTCAGGGGTTGTTGTATTTTTTTTAGGAGAGTCAGTTGAGGAAGGTTGGCAAAAGAGCTGAGTCGTTGGGGGGAATGGTGGCAGTGTTCCAGTGCATCAGCTATTAAACATCACGAAGTAGCATCACAATGGAAATATGTCCACAGTATTCTTTCAACTCCAATCTTATTCATTTATTTCTCCTCTCGGTCATGGCAGGTAATACATATATACAATGAAGGTGAAAGATGAAGATAAATCCATCCTTGAGTGTGGTTCAAAGAAAAAAACGAGTGACAAACCACCCCTATATGCAGCGCTGCAGACCCTACACAGTGGTCCAAAATGACCAACAATTGTATGGCTAGCATGGATAGCTTAGTACGAGGCGGGAGTCTCCTTGGTGCCCGAAGCCTGTACAGTAACCGTCTCAGTCAAGGTCTTGTACACAGTCGGTGCACCAGTGCAGATAGATGCGTCTGCGACGTTTGCAGCGGTGGCGGTGACGGTGACGGTAGGTGTGTATGTGACTGTGACGGGGGGCTTGCAGTCTCCCTCTTCTTCATCATCGCTGGTGGCGCCGCCAGCGACTGGGCTGGGAGTCTTATCAGCTGGGGCGGAGGGACCGGTGGGAGAAGCGATGGGAGTTGGCTGTGCGGCGTCGTAGTCGCCGGATTCCTCTTTGTCAACGCCCTTGTCGGGGAGGCCGGCGGCGTAGGAGGGGTAGGGGGAGGGGGAGCTGGTGGCTTCGGGGGTTACGGCGGGAGAGGCCTTGGAGGTGGGCTTGTAGTCGGCGGGGGCTGAGGCGTTGCCAGAGGGAGTCTGGGTTGCGGTTGGGGATGAGGCTTGAGTGCTCTTGTTGCCGGTAGGGGCAGCTGGGGCAGCGTTGCAGCCAGCGCCGGAGGCAGGGGTAGCAGAGGCAGGACCGTACTGGACGGGGTTGCAGCCGGGAAGGGCATCCAGGATCTCTGAATCGTTCGACATACGGGACTCGGCGGCAGAGCAGCTTGCCCAGGAGTCATCACTGTCCTTGTTGACGTTGGCGGAGCCAAAGCACTGCTCCATTTGTTCTTGACCGCAGCCACAGCCACACTTGCAGCCGTCGTTCTCGCTGATGGCCTTGTCAAGTACACCCTCGTCCCATCCGTTCATCTTGTCATCAAGTTAGCATCGTGGCATCAAGAATGGAAGCAGGTAGTCTTACGAAGTCAGCGTGGAAGCCGTAGCCAGTGGCATCACCGTTAGAGAGGACCCAAGGAGCCTCATCAGGACCGAACTTGAACGACGAAATGTCCCACCAGTACTCGATGAAAAGAGTGGGGAAGCGTGCGGCTCTGTGGGTGACGGGGCAGTTCTCAATACCAACACCGCTGTTGCCGTTGGGGTAAGCCATGTGCGCATAGCCATCTTTGGGATCCATGGGCTGTCCGTTCCAGCAAGAAGGATAGGTGACTTCAGAGGCAAAGCCGAACTTGCAAGAGGTGAAGCCCTTGGGGAAACCGTTATCGAAGATAGCAGTCTCGCCGCCGTCAGGCTGGTGGCAGCCCCAGCGGACACCGGCTGCGTTGTCGTCACTGTTGCTGCGTCTGTTGGGCTTTCCAGCAACCATGTTGAAACCTTTTGGGTATGCAGTGACGTTTGCCCAGTTGTTTCCATCACCGTACTTGTAGTAGATCTTGGTCGCCTTCTCGGGAACACGCTGGAAGCCGGCGTCGCTCTTGAAGAACAAGGTAGGACGCCAGTACAGAGACTTGTCGCTCTTGACACGAGCGGTGGAGCAGGATGAGTCCTGGAGGCCGGCATAGTCGACCGTCTGCTTCAGTCCGTTTCCTCCGTCGAAGGAATGAAGATGGGGGCTCTCAGCTCCGGGGAACAAACCGGGGTCGAGGCGCTGATAGCTCATAGCCGGACCGTTGCGGTTGTAGAAGCTAAAGTAGTTGCCATAGCACTGAGCTGAGGCAGTGGCGGCAAAGCCAGCCGTGAGAGATACAACGTTGAAACGCATGATGGCTTAATGACAATGTTCAGGTGTCTGTACAGTGAATCTGTGTCGTAAAACAGCAAAAAAGGAGTGAGCTGTGTGTGTGAATGAAGGTATCGAGTCACGGACTCTAGATGCTCTGGATATCAGAAAAAGAGTGTGTATGGACAAGTCCACAAAGAAAGAAGGGATGGTATTCCTGTACCGGAAGCCAAAAAGAGAGAGAAAGAGGGACAGTGATGCGGATGCAAAGAAGGTAAGACAATGTGAAGGGGGGAGACGGCCTTTGATAAATATACGCCAAAAGGCCTCCTGCATGTGGAATTGCATACAGCCACAGTGGGCAGCCCCCATGTCACGGACTCTATCAAGATAAGCCTAGGCATCACCAAAACGACTAGATCCACACCCGTTTCCGGGTGGTGGCGATCTGAGCCAGGGGAGCCGCGCGCAGTTCACGAGCGGCACGGGTGTCAGGGGGTAGGATAAAGCGAATCCTTCGAGCGAAGCGGGCAAACGAATACCAAGAAACAAGTTTCGGTAATCGAAGGTCACGACAAAGCCCGCAAAAAGTTGAGAAAGCGTCAGGCAGCATGTGGATTGGCGAGAACGTCTAGCTCTCTGCCATCGGTACTTGAAACAAAGTGACAAGAGCGTTCGCGCGACGCCCGCAGCGGGAGTGTTTTCTTTCTTCGACAGTTCCGATAGCGAGTTGACATAATCCATAGGATGGGAATAAACCAGGTCTGTTCCTAAGAAGCCACGCGAGCGCTAAGTGGCACGACCGTCCTAAAAGTGGCTGATCTTCAAACGGTGATGTCTGCCCCTGCCTTAGATTAACGTCAGCCCTCGCATTCGATTAGCTGCTACAGTTTCCTCGTCGGCTTTTCCATAGATAAGCGCCTTGGGTTTTGTTCGAAACAAAATCTGCCGACATAGGGAAACAACACGGCTTATTTTTTGTTTCTCTTGGTATTGAAGTCCGAATGTGGAGCTGAACACCCTGTAGCCGCTGCGCCGCCGCCACGAAAGTCAATTCAGTCATTACCTCCCAAGTGACTGGAAGCGACATGTCCCCAGGGATAGTGTATTCCGCCCTGCACACAGGACCTGTCTGTCAAGTTTCGAATCCCGAGTGTGTGTCTTTCGCGTACCCGCATACAGTATACGAGACGAGGAGGGGCAGCGACTCGCTTTCGTCTAGTGACCTTCACGCCGACATGCATGGTCCGACCGCGGTGCAGCCACTAGACTGTATTTCGCTCAGGCGTCTAGTTCGAGAAGTCCCGCGTTCCCGTAGTTATACTCCGGTTGGTAGAGAGCGGCCGCCAACATGCCGTTGTGCAGTAGTCGGACTTGTTTTTTCTCTCTGCTGACGAATTTTGCTGACTAGTACCTGAGCGCCCCGTCGCCTGGCAGTTCAATAACAGCCCAGAAGCCCAACCAGTATCGATAAGGGGATGGCCATCTCCACTTTTCATCAAATACCTGTTACCTGCAAGCGAGCCACGTGGATTACATTGATCGACGTACTCTATTACACATTTTCCCTGGCGGCTTCGGCTCCAGTGTCTTGCCGTAATGTGCGCTTCATGGTAGGAAGTATGGTACATCAGTGTAGAGTCACAAGTGACCTTCTAGTGCGGCAATCAGCTAGTCTTGACGGACTGATGACAGGCATGCATGTGAAAAAAAGGAGATGGATGAAGTAATCATGTGATATCGTTCCCCTGGCATAATATGTGCTGTTTGAATCCATCTATCTGCACATAGCCTATGCCGTGCCGCTTCGTGCTTCGCTTCACAGTGCGTACATGTGCATTCCCTGTGGCACTGTCATTTGTACATACATATGTATACGCACACACAAACCCGTCTTGCCATGATATTCCTCCCAGTATCCAACATACCAAGACCATACTCGAACAGGTTGAGTCTGCCGTGAAGTGGATTTTTGATATAGCTTTACCTACCACTGTATCGTGCAACTCTACGCTTGGAGCCACGAGCCTGCACTCTGTTACCTTGCTCGCACCCATAATATGTGCACAAAAGCAATCAAAGCTTTGAATGCATATTCCACGCTATCCACTGGCGGGTGCAACATCGCTCAGGCTTTGCCGCCCAACACAGCCTCGACAGCATCCCAACGATCAATGCTCCTCTTAATCAAACCGCCCATTAGCTCCCTTCCAACGACACCCCCTCCACTCTTCTCTACCCTCCGAATCACCAAATCTTTCGTTCCCCTCTTCCCACCCTGGCAGTCTACAACTACACTGACAGTCTCTCTGCATACTCCTTCCTCGAAAGCATCGGGATCGCTGAGTACCCAATCTACGTCTTCATCCTCTTCCTTCCTGCCCTCAAACACCGCATATGTGCTGGGTATTGGCAGACCTTGTAATCGCAATCGACGTGCTTCTTGTGGATTGTCGGAACATAATATCCCCTCAAACTCCTCGTCGTAGTATGCGTGTGGTATAAGAGTGTCACACAAAGCGGCCAGCATAGATATCCAGGCTGCGTCAAACGCATTTCCATCGATGCTTATGAAGAAGATGTCTAGATACAGAACCCAGTACCCCTTCAACTGTGTTTCCGCTTCCACATCAGGATCCTCGGGGTTTGTAGAGGGTTTGTATAGAATACGAAGATCTGAAGCGCGGAGTAGTCGTGTTGAGTGAATAAGCGATCGTATCCGCGTGATGAGTGTTTGTGCGTATGTTGAGGGAGCGTTGCCCGGAATGTGCGAGGGTGTGCTTCCAGTAGAAAGCTCGACGTTTGGAACCACCAGCCTCAGTTCTTCTACTTCCTCGCCATCATCTTCTTGCGCTGTATCACCTTGGCCTGTCAGGTCTTTGGGGTATTCAAAGGCGCCTGATATGTCTTCCTCTTTCAATATTTCTGCACGTACGCCGCAAACCACGCTTGTGTTGCCCAGGCGCACGACTGCGCTGCCATTGCAATGTGTCAAGCTACCGGTGTTTACTCCTGGTGTTCGAAACTCATTGGCGGTTCGGCCGTTGGCGCGTACGGGCTTCTTCTTCTCAGCAGAGAGGTGCGCTTGGAGGAACGGGTGTGGAGAGACGGCGGCGAAGATGGGGCGAGGAAAGGTGAGAGCTGGAGGTGGATGGGTCTCAGTCGCCATTGAGAAGGTGTCGATCGTGAAGGCTCAGAATAGACCAGGTAATGAATTGCGCAGCGTGTTGTACAAGTCGAACGTCGACGTTGGGAAATTTTGGAGCTTTGGTTATGACGCGCTAAGTTTAAGCTTATTCGTGTGGGGCGCCCGCGATCATCTCACGCATAAATTGATCGGCAATCTTGTAACATGGTCCAATGAAACAGAAAGACTGGGTAATTAAGCAAGGCTTGGGCTTATATGTAAACTAGAATTGGAATAAAGATAATATTATAACTATATGTATGCTCAACGCGCGCTATACAGCAGGGGTATTCCATCGAAGACAAATACAATGCGACGCTCCTCTGCCATGCCCACACATCCAAATACATCCAAGACGACGTATGCTGTACCAGGCGCCTTTCCTAGACTTCAACAACAATTCAGGATCAAGCAGAACTTATTCCAGCCTTGCCTGTCTCCTGGATAGGTGTCCACTTGCCCTCCTTCTTGAACTGATCACCCCTCAAGGTGGCCTGCGCAAGTTGCGAAATCATATAGTCCCGGCCCTTGATGAACCACACCATCTGGCTAGGCAATCGGAACCCATTAAACGCGCCAACACCTTTCTGCGTACCAATGGGGACAACTTGCTGTTCCTTCATGTTCGCAGTATAGTGGCGGTCGCCCTTGTGTGGCTCGCCGGTCAAGTGGGCCAGCAAATCGTTTTTTAGGTTCGTCATGGCTACAGGTACCGCGTCGTACATGTCCATGACACCTCCTCGGGTATACGAGCCTACATCGCCGACCACGTAGACGCGGGCAGAGTCGTGTTCGAGGCGGAGAGTCTTCGCGTTGCAGGCCACACGATTGCGGCTATCGAGCCACTCCTTGGGGAGAAAGCCAGTGTTAGGTCGGGTACCAGTCGCGTCAATGTATATATTGGTCTCGAGTATCTCTCCGTTAGAGAGATCTACCCTGGTCTTTCCGCCTTCCTCCTCACTCATCTTGGATGACCCAATGACCCTTACGTCATATGTGACGCTACACCCAAGTCGCTTCAGGAACTGCTCGGCCGTCTGCCCGATAGCAGGTCTGAGAAGAGGCAAGAGCTGCCTGTCGGCGACAAAGACTCTGATTTGTGCTTTGGGGTTCTTGGGCGCAGACGCCATGAAGCCTGGCTTGCCATTGAGCATCTCTGCAATCTCTCCTGCTGTCTCGACACCGACTGGTCCGCCTCCGCCAATGATTACATCCTTGGCTGTCTTGAGGCCCTCCTGAAAAGCGGCATGTACCTTCTCAAGAGCTTCTCGATCAGTAGCCTGTGTAAATAGCGGACTCGGTGTCGTGAATCCGGTTGCAATCACGAGAGCCGCATAGGGAATCGATTGCTGCTCGCCAGATGCAGTCTCAACAGACACAATCTGCCCAGCAGCATCCACATGTGTCGCCATGCCTTGAATGAACTTGAACTTGGAAGAGGCATACGCGAATGCAGGCTCGATTGGGTAGAAAGTCTTATCCGAAGGCATCATCTGCTTCGAGACAGATTCCCGTGGTGAAGCAAAGCGCCACCAAAGATCCTTTGACGGATTGACCATGGTGACATTGTACGTAACATCGTCCTTCTTGGGCAGCTGAGGTACGACGTGCCTGAGCAAGAAGTGGGCGGCGCTGATACCTGCGAAAGATCCGCCGAGTATAAGGATGGTTTCGGTACTCATCCTGGGTGTTGTTGTTTGTTGTTGCACTCAGGAGGGGTAATTGGGGAAGACGACAAGAAAATAAACAAAGGGGTCTCAAAAGAAATTATTTCCAAGGCGCATAGCATTAAGGTTTGGGGCGCGGTTCAAGACTCAGGGTCATACCAAGTGGGGAGCCGTCATAATCGCGAGTCGTGACCCACAAGAGCGTCTGGACCGTTTTATTGCAGAGAGCGCACCTATCATGGCTTTCGTAGATAGTTGTCGCAAATCTCTCAACACCGATCATTCGAAGTATGCATATGCTCGTGCTTATCAATCGTATTGATTCTCCTAGTCAAGCTTTGCAGGCGGGTGGTGGCATGTTGGAGGCTTGCACTTGTGAAGAGAGCGCCAAGCCTAAGCATGTCGCTGCTAGCCCTTTCATGCTTAGTCCGATAACTGATCTGCCGCTGACTTGGTGTCAACTCAGATACGAGGAATTGCGATCAACACAGACCTGTTCATATATCTAGATCAAATACCTCGTTGACAGCCATCTTAGGTTAGCCATAGTGATTCAGGGTCAATGCCTTGAGTATCTTCAAAGCGCCTGTAACTCCTCAAGCAAGGATCTATAGAGTCGAGCTGGTTACGCGTTCAAGATGCAAAGGTTCACGTCAGCATGTATACACGTACCTTCAGAACTTGCAATTGGTGCATGGTGATGACATGGGGAGCGTGCTAGAAGACTTTCATTCATATCTTTTTTCCCTAGGTATAACGCCAGCCCGGTATGTGCCTGCAAAACTCGCCGCGGCTGCTGACCGTAATGATCATTGCATTCATGAAGTCCTCGAAACCAATGTACATGCGGCGGGCCATCATTGCACATAGCCTCCTCCTCAACACTGCCTAGTCTTTGTTCGGCTAAGACTGGAGTAGCTTCTTACTCGACTTCAGCCTTCGACTCGAAGTTCTCGCCGGCGACCAGGTCGGGGATGTCATCGTCATCCTCGTCATCCTCGTCCTTCTTCTCGCTGTCCTCACCCTTCTCCTTCTGCATGCTCTGGTAAGACTCGGCGAGTTTGCGTAGCGATGCGAGCGAGTCGGGACCGAGCTGGTTGAGGATGCCAGGGACGAGCTCTGTCAGCTCCTTGTCCTCGCCGTGTCCATAGATGGCGAAGGTGTTGGCAGGTACTGACGCATGGACTATAATAGCGAAAACGTCAGCCGCTGCAGGTACGAAAGCGTGAGGGATCCGGTAACACAAAATATAGATGCATCTCCAGCGACGCAATGCTTCCTCCACCTCAAACATCCCCCGACATTACAATGAGTGGAAAGGTGGTAACGTACCCTTGGGTGCCGAGAAGTGGATGACGTTGCCGTCGCTCTTGAACATGTTGACCTCCTCAATAGCCTGGATAGGCTGGACATTGAGCTTCTTCAGCGCGGTCTGGAGCTTCTTGTCGTCGGTACCAGCGCCCCTGTGGACCTTCTTGACCTTCCTGCGGGGAGTGCCCTTGCCGCTATTGATCCAATTAGCCTTGTGTACCTCATAAGTGCCATCTCCATCTGTGAGTCCTTGTTCGGCTGTCGCGGGTTGCGGTGGTGTTTCGCAAATTCGGAGCCGTTGTTTGGTGCGGGGCTGTCAAAATAGATTGCGAAGAGTGCTGCTTACCCTATGCACACATGTTAGCGGACAAGTATCCAGAGAAGATGAGCTGCTTCCTCCTGAGGGAGATTTTGGGCCGAATTTCTTATACGTACCAATGCGCACTGACGCCTGCATACGCGCCAACTTTGCGTGATCCATATTTGCGGTGTTGAGAAAGAAGGTGACTTATTGAGGAGATCTGTGGCAGCCAAACGTCAGCGGTCGGGCTACAATCTCACGGAAGGTCGAGCGGGTGAGGCTGCAGCGGATACGGGACCGGTACGCACCTGAATTCGGGATCGTGGCCGAGACTTGGAGTGTGGTGTAGCTGGTGAAGTTGTTGCGGGCATCGGCGAAACTCTACGGAAGCGCCGATTGTGTGCTTGCCTCGCTTGTTGGAAGCTCCTTCCCCGCAACGTCAGAGGAGAGGGGCGTGCGATCAACACTCGACAAGAGCCATTTCGAACACAAGACACGCATGCCTCAACCACGCACCGCCGCTATTTGAGCCACCAGTGAACTGAGTCTTGTTCGAATCTAGTCGCTTTTTTTCTTTGCTCGCTCTATTGAAAACTTTCTCAACACTGTCTGTCCCGGGCAGGCAACTTTGGACTGATTGATGCTTCATCATATCGGGCTGATAGCCATGCTCAGACTCGCCCAGACAGCTCTTTTTTTTTGGCAAAGCAGCCGATTTATGCACGTTGGTAAACAGAAATCCTGGAAAGAAAACGCAGTGTTAGACTGCATATACATTAACACACTATGCAAACAGCTTTTTCAATTTGGTATCAACGCCATCAACCCGAAGACATTGCTCAAAGCATAGCAATTCCAGCAAGACCTATAGCACCCAACACCCATGAAATGGCCTGGGCATGTGTCGCTGCGCTAGCCGCTGTGGGCGACGTTACACTACCGCTACCGCTACCAGACGCTGTGGGCTTGTCGTCGTCGTTATCCGAGCCACCCGTACTCGTAGCCGTTGAGTTGGGGTTACCAGAAATATTCTCTTGAGCTACCTTTACGCCCGTGTTGTTCTTGCAGCTATCCTGAAATTCCGACTGTGAAAGCTGCTTCTCGACAAGAGTAACGTCAGTGCACTGTATTTTTGTAAGCGACTTAGCACGTCCATGTATCCTGATTCAATGACCTACCTGGAACAGGCCGCCAGAGCTGTGCGCATTGGTAACAACTTGGATGGATGCTTTCGTGCCAGCAGTCACGTTTAGGTCTTTCGGAATGCTAACAGAGCTCAAGCAGAAGTTACCCAGACCCTCAACCATAAACTGTTGCTTCAGGACAACGCTGAATCCGCTCCCAGGGTTGTCACCAATCGCCATGTATACGGCGACATTTGTCTGTGGGTGGCCTAGGACCAATTGGATAGGACCGCCACTGACAGGGAAATCGGTGCGTTTATCTGAGACCTGGTCGTAACCTCCGCAGGGGAAGTTACCCTCATTTTCCTCGTTGAAGCCACGCGATGGAGGGAAGTTGAGGTTGAAGTGAGCGAGAGTGAGAGGAAGAAGAGAGAGCGCGAGGACAGTGTTGGAGAGCATTTTGAACGTTAACCGGTGAGTCTGTGTAGAGGTGTTGAAAGTTCAGGAGAGGAACAGAGGAACAGAGAGAAGAGAAAGAGGGAGCAAGATGAATGGTATTAACGAGGGGGCGTGGTTTGGTAGAATGAAGCCGATTGCATGCGCCAGGCGGTCTAAGAAGTACAGGCGCGTCGTTCCTTATTTATTAGACCCAAGGAACGGGCGTACTTGCTTCCCGTCATGCCGTGCATTCTTTCCCGTTACAGGGTGTGGCGTGCACATCGAGCCGATGCAGCCACACCTGTGCCCGGCAGCGGATTCTGATACGCGCCGCTGCCAGAAGAATACAAGTTAGTGAGCTATTTGTTTTGAGGCTTGATACTGGACCAGTGGCGGTATGTTCTGGTTGGCAGGAATCAGGGTGGACTATCCTGTGAATGAAGAAGCGTGAGCAAGTTTCTTACCAAAGCAGCGGTGCTATGGATGAATGGTCACTAGCGCAGGACAGGGGTCCATTTCACGTCAGCCCCACACCTACCCGGCCTAGGCTTCGAGATTGCCATCAGCTTCGACACGAAGATCTCACGGAAATAATCTGCACATGCATGTGTACACGGTGAGATGAGTATGTGAGACGCGGTAAAGAAAAGGAGAGATAAGCTTTATAGTCAAGACAAGTCGAGTCCGGTGATACACTGGTTGCAAATGACTGGGGTCGGACCTGGCTGAATGCGAAGTATTGTTTGTGGAGAATATCTAATTGGGTAACTAATCATCTAGTGGGCAGGTATTACAAGAGCATCTACAACATTAGACTCCGGCACGGTGCGGATACGAAGTCAAAGCAGAGTCCCATCGGCCATTAATGCGGTGCGGCCTGATTGAATCTGCCGAAAGCAAGTTCACCGACAAACGTACCCGCTAGAACAGAGAGAAAGTATCCGACATTGAAGGTCATGACTGCCAGCATGCTGTTGTAATGTTAGCATTGGTAGGTACGAGTTAGGAGATGGTCTGCTCACAGGAGGTATCCGACACCCGCCGCAACCGTCATCAAAAAGGCTCGTGGAAGATCAACGCCAAACCTCCAGGGTTGGATGTGGGATACTGGTGCAGACACAACCCGGACATTCTCCTGAACGCCATTGGTCGTGAGAATGCCATGTGTCGAGTTGGCATCGTCGTCGAGGACTGTTTTCTCGCCAGCTACGACAACGTAGCGACGCTGCAGAGCGTTCTTTACTGCCTTGATTTCAAGAAAGGTTTTGGCTGTGAAGATGGCGCGGAGGAGAATAGCGAGGAGGATGAGGAAGATGCACGTTCCAGCGTATTGACCAGCTGATGATGGGGTCCATGATTTGGAGTACAGTGGAGTGTTGGTTGCTGTGAAGAAGGCCATTGCCATGCCGCCATGACCGGATGTTTCGCTCGCATGCATTCCCTCCATTGACCCCATGGCCATTTCATCGTGGCCTCCGTGTGCAACCATTATGCAAAAGTGATGGAATAGACTGTCGGGAGGAAGACTGGTAGTGGCGAGGCTTCACAGAAGCTATTGATTCCGTTGCGCGGGAGAGACAGGTGTTGACAATTAGGTTCCGAGTTCCAGACTGCTACACCAATACTCGGGCAGACGGTCGCTTAAAGGTTCCTTTGGTAACGTGTGGGGTTACACCCTGGCTGGTTCTGATCTCGGATGATACACGGGTAGAAGAGTTAGCATAGACGCATAAGCCTGAGGCGTCGAGGCGTTGGTCCTGTGTCGACAGCTGAGAGAAATATGAGAGGGATCTTGCGACAGTCAAGAGGATGGCGAGCCTGGGCTGACGCGTGAAATGTCGGGGCAGGTGAGCGTATTTCCCGGATGCGCCCAGCGGCCGAGGGGTCAGGATGAGGGTTCTCGGCCATGGTAAGCTAACAATAATGCCGTCAGATTGTGGCCAGGCCGTAATGCAGGGTAGTTACGAGCGAACGAACCCCCTTCGTCGTCTGGTGAGTGCCAGGGAGTCCATGGAGTCACTTTGAGCATAATTAGCCGCTTTCGGCAAGCGTCCAACGCTCAAGCAACGCCACGACTCTGGGCTATCGGGCAAGCCCGTTACCCCGGTCCATCGGGCCCGCATCTAAGTTGATCAAAAGACGGCAGCGCAGTGAAATGATTGACTTTGCCCGGACCGTGGCTGACGGAGCCCTGGACCTTCTGTTGAACCACTGCCGCATGTTGTCTTCATCACCTACACCTACTTTGGCTCCATTTCCTTCATTATACTTTGTTCAGCGTACTACTCATAGCCACTGTCTTGAGACGCGCCCTCGTTGCCTGTGGCCAAGACTACCAGCATGTGCTGAAGACGAAACCGTTGGCTTACGCTTCCCCGGCTTGGTGTTTATACAGGAGCCATTCCGAAGACGTGAAAAGAACTGGGAATACAAATCGGGCAAGACGCTGCGACAACGCGCCAACATCAGACACCATGAGCCACAGCCACATGTCCATGGGCTCACTGCCCGCCCTCAGAGACTTCCCACACTTCTACTATGCAGTAGTGGGTAGTGCTGTTGCCGTCGCTACACTCTTCAATGTCTACAACTACCTGCTATATCGACAAAGATTATCCGCAGCAGGACGTGGTGCGCCAACGCCTGCAAAGCCAAAGTCATGGCTTGCGCTTGGAAACGCGACCACATATGCCCTGACCCGAGAGGCATCCAGTTATTCGATACATATACCCCTCAAAGGCCGGACCATTATATTGCCCACCGTCGGTCGAACCTCGCTGATCTTGGCAAACGTAGTTGTCCTTGTCGTGCTGTGTCTCTATGGGCTAGATCTGCAGGATGTACTCAACCGGGAGAGCGTCGGCTTTCGATGTGGTGTTGTCACAATCGCACAGTTCCCAATCATTGTCCTGCTGGCGGGAAAGAACAACATCATCGGCCATCTCAGTGGGATAAGCTATGAGCGACTCAACTGGATACATCGGTGGTGTGCTCGCTGTATGCTCTTGACAGCTACCATGCACATGGGCTGGTTCTTCAGTGCGTGGGCTCCTTACGATTACATTGGCTACCAGCTTCAGAATAGCAACATTGTATGGAAGGGTCTTGCTGCCTGGTGTGCTTTATTCTGGATTGTCTTTAGCTCCATGTCGCCAATCCGAGGATGGAGTTACGAGATTTTTGTCATCCAGCACATCGTCTCCTTTGCGGTTTTCCTGGCGTTCGTCTACCTCCATAGCCCCCGCGAAATGCATGGCTACGTCTGGGCACCAGTTGCCATTTTCCTGTTTGATCGCGTCGTCCGAGCTTTGCGGCTCTTGTATCTCAACGTCTCCTTCTTTCACCCTAAGCAAAGACAGCAAGAAGGCACTAAAGGCTTTTCGACGTGCCAAGCCGAATTCACACCTCTACCGCATAACGCAACAAAGATAGTTGTCCAAAATCCACCAATGAGCTGGAAGCCCGGTCAGCATGTATACCTATCCTGTCAATCAGTTGTGCCTTTACAGAGTCATCCCTTCACCATTGCCACGATACCCGAAGATGGACGGATGGAGTTTTATGTCAAGGCTGAAAAGGGAGGCACCAAGCGCTTCCGCAGCTTTGCTGAAAAGTCAGGTAGTTTATCTAAAGCATTAGCAAAGACCAAATCGGTAACATTTGAGGGCCCTTATGGTATCCTGCGACCACTCCGACAGTTCGACAGTGTTGTTCTTGTGGCAGGCAGTACCGGAAGTACCTTCACTATGCCATTACTTCGCGACCTCATCCGGGGCTGGCAGGAAAACGCCAACCGTAGTACTTTGAAACCCAAGTCGCTCCTCCAGACACCGCTTGGCGCCGTCACACGTCATATCCGTTTTGTCTGGGTTGTGAAGAGCAGTGGCCAACTTAACTGGTTTTCCGAACAACTCACCTCCATCTACGTCGAATTCCAAACCCTACAAGAAAGACTTCGGGACATCAAGCTCGAAATGAGCGTGTACATTACCTGCGACCCTTCCTTCACTGAAGGCCAAAAATCTCTCATCTCAGACATACTCCCTCCCACTGCAACCTCGTCATCACGTCAAGACGAAATCATACACGGCACCCCGCATTACAACGACCCCAAATCTACCTCCCTACCCCCCCAAAACAAGTCCACTACTACCGAGAAACAAGAAATTCACCAGATCCGCTCAAACGAAACAACCAGCCTAGAAGTCCAAAACCCATCCAGCATGCAAAGCCCAACCGGCCCACCAACCTGCTACTGTCGCGCCGTCATCTCAGAAAAGGACCCACTCACCCGCAGAACCGCATGTTGCTGCTCAGCAAACGCGTCATCACCCCGCAACTCGCATTCTCGTAATACGTCTCTGACGATTACGCATCCTTCAATTGCTATTCTGGCCGGGCGCCCGCAGATACGCGATATCATTCGCAAATCACTCGAGCAGGCGTGGGGAGAGAGCGGCGTCGTTGTTTGTGGGCCTCATGGTTTGGTGAGCGATGTTAGGCGACATGTTGTTGCGCTGAGTGATGAGAGGGCGGTGCATAAGGGAACGGGGGCGCAGGGGATTTATTTGCATACTGAGAGTTTTGGGTGGTGAGATGTCGGAGAGAAGTTTGTTACTTGTGGTTTCAGTATGGTAATGATGTTGTCTTGTCTTGGGTGAAAGGAGGTGAATATGTTTTTCCTTGGCAGTCCTCTGAAAACGATACCTCGAGGGTTCTGTGCAGAAAGCGTTGGTACTTTTTGTTCCTAGACTTGCTTTCTCCTTCCCCTGTATCATCGGTTAGCTCTCTAGATATTACACATCACTTTCACAGCTACTTGATCAAAATCCATTTGCAAAATCATTCATCGGTGTAACTTCGGGTATCTGTCATTGATCGAAATATAGCAATAAAATTCGTCTCAAAGGAAAAAAACACAAGGAGAAATAAGAGACTAGAGTACAAATGCAGTGCAGTTCAACACTATTAGTGCAGCTGCAGCATCGTCCCAAGGAAAAACGCCTCTCTCGAATCCAATCCCTCAAAACATAACACATCAAAAATAAAATGCTCGTATGCGCCTTGAAAATAGAGGAAGCATCTCACTCCCTGAAAGGAAGAGAAAAAGTGGCAAAAGCAGACATGCAAGAAAATGATGTGACAAAGGGAAGTAGTCGGGAAAGACGGGACGCAAAAGCATAATATGCCTTTGGCTATTTCCAAGCAGCAATCCCCACCTTCTGCGCCAGGCACTCCGTATCCGTTAAAAAATCCCCAGTCGAGTGATCCTTGAGACCTTCTCGTGTAACGCCTTGAAATGTGTGTATGTGTGTATCTCCGGAACATTGTGTATATATCACCCCTCTTCATCGTACTGTCGTAGTTGTCGTAATCGTTCCGGAGCTGTAACGGCTCGTCCTCCCTATAGGACCATGCGCTTGCTGCGGACAATGAAGGGAGATGGCATCTCGGGCTCAGTGTTAGGATCCCAGACAGCGGGTGGGGTGATGCCGCCGCCTCGTTGCTTAACAGGGCTTCTCCGGCCACCGTAGCCGAAGCCCTTCTTTGCGCCACCCTCGTCCTCGCTCATGGTCTGGAGGGGAATGCCGCGTGCTTGCTGGAGCTCAACAAGGGTACGGCCTTGAACAGCGCCGTTGTTGCGCAGGGCTTGGGCGCGGAACGCCTCGTTGCCCTTCTTTGACGGGAGACCAGCAAATGGGATTGCTTTGGTAGTAGCGCCCGCCTTCCGTGGCGACGTCGATGCGTTGTCAGTCGACTTTGCCTTTTGCCGAGAGGGAGATGCTGCAACAATGGGTACTGCAGAGACTGGTCGTGGCTTGGTAGTCCTGGGACCAAGAAGATTTGGTGCATTACCAAGACGCGTGTTGGCCTTGAGTAGCGGCGCCTGGGCATTTGCAAGTACTTTGAATGGATCATCATTTCGGGGGCGGCTACCAGAGGCACTGCGGGCTCGTGTTGGTGATGGTAGTACTGGAAGATCATCGTCGTCATCGAAGTCGCCGTTCCACTCGGCCTCAGTTGGCGATGGAGGGACGTCTGCTTCCCACCTCTTCGCGCCCTCCTTGGCGGCAGCAAAAATGTTTTGCTTGGACTGCGCGTTACGGCGAGGAGAAAGAGATAGTCCCTTGAGGGATGTCGGAGCGGGTGAAGGCTCGGCCATCTGGACGTCCATCGGGGAGTCGGGGACTTGTGTTGACGAAGGCTGGTTGAACATGGTACGGGCGCGCATAAGTGGACCGCGAGACGGGCGCTTCGCCTTTGGCCGTGCTGCAATAACAGCATCCTCGGCGGTGTCATCGAGGGAAAGCGATGACAAGTCTGTTCCACTCGCGAAATCAGAGTCTGTGTTCAGCGTGTTTGTTGAGCTGTTGGCAGTTGGGGCCTCAACATCGGTTGGGAACAAGGCGGCTGATGGCCCTGTTGCTGAAGTTGTCGGTGTGCTGGATCGAGGAGCAAGCTTTGGTGACGTGCTGAGACGGTTTGGGTACATCTTCAGAGCACGTTCTACGCGTCTGTTTACCTCACCTTCAAATGTGGCTTGGAGGTGGGCAAGTTCCTTTTGGACGCGCTGCTCAGTCTGGAGCTTCACCTGTCGTTCAATCTCTAACTGGGCCTTGACCTCCCATTCTCGGCGCAACTGGTCGTCGAGCTCTTTGCGAATTCGAGAGATGGCCTCACTCGCCTCTTTCTCGCGCTTTGCAGTAAGCATCCTCTGCTCGCGCAGATCTTGTCCAAGTTTAACTACCTCCTGCTCTTTGCGCATCAGCTTGACAATTGGCAAATTCAAAAGAGCGGCAGTGTCTGGGCGGTGATCGGGTGTTGTGTTTAGACAGCTGGCGATGACCTTTCGAAGTTCGGCTGAATAGCAGGCAGGAATATCGGGATAGCGTCCCAGCTTAATCTTGGAAATGAGTTCGAAGTGGGTTTTGGCATTGAAAGGAGGAGACTTTGTGCACATCTCGTATATGATGCAACCGAGGGCCCAAATATCAGAGTGAGGTCCATACTGCTCGGCCTTGCAGATTTCGGGGGACATGTAGAACGGGGTGCCAACGTATGTGGATGCAAAGTCGTGGGATTGAAGAATCTTGGAGAGACCAAAGTCGCCGAGCTTGACGGAGTTGTCGTCGCCAAGGAAGACTGTTTCTGTTAGTATGCACAGACGAGCGTAAGGAAAATGGGGCACTGACTGTTCTCAGGCTTAAGATCGCGATGAAGGATCATGGGTTTGCGGGGGTCGCGAACAGGCTTCGCATTGCCGACGAGACCCATGACGTTGCGCCCAGCGGCGGGCGGGTCTTCACCATAGTGGCAGCGGTACAATGCGCTCACAATCTGGCTGAAGATGCTCCAGATGAATTCCTCCTCGCACATTTGGTTCTTGTTCTTCAGTTCGCGGATGACGCGGCCTAGGTCGCCATTTCCGCAGTACTCCATATACAGATGAAGGTCCTGGGATGCCTTAATGTGGTCGCGCTCGAAGTAGGCGACAATATTTGGGTGTCGGAGTTCCTTGAGGATGGAAAGCTCGGCCTGCAGCTGTTCACGTTCCTTCTGGGACATTTTGAGGTAGCTGATCTCTTTTCGGCAGAGAATCTATGTAGCGGTCAGCAGGTGTGCGGTGTGACTTGTGCATGAATTGCGTACATATCCATCCGACTTGCGCTTGACCTTGCGAATGACTCCAAAGGAGCCATGGCCTGCAGCTTGTTAGCAGGTGATAGAAGTGTGAATTGACGTCGAGGCTATGTGCGTACCAATCTTCTCGAGCACGTCGTACTTGTCTTCCTCGGGCATGGTGGCGGTAGGGCTATTGCGCAAAAGACATGCAAGTATGGGATGCAAAAACAAAAAGAAGAGCAGGCTGCTGTGTTAGTAAAGCTTCGAGGGCCGGTGGCGGAGGAGTGCAGAGGACGACGGGAGAGGCGGGATAGAAGGCCAGGTTTCTTAGGTGTTTGGTGCTGTTTACGCTAGCGGCCGTCAACCCAGCAACGCAGCACACTAGCCTGGCTTTGTCCTGCTGGCTGGCCGGGGTCTCCCTTGCGCCTGGCCTTATCGATAGCACACCTCCGATCTGCGCCGACGCTCGTCATAGCAGCACATGGCCATCGTACATATCCACACGTCCTCGATGCTTGTTGCCACTGCGCAAAAACAATGGATGTCAAGAAAAAGTACGAGATCGAGGCCGCCCTCGCGACTGAGGCGCAGGCTATCTCGTCAGGCCAGCTCAAGGAAGAGAACCCTCTCGACCTAAGCGACAACTTTAGACTCTTCTGCGAGGCATGCCGCCGTGGAGACCTCAAGGTCTGCCAGGAGATGATTTCCACTGGAGTCAACATCAATGCCAGAGATAAGTTTGACTACACACCCCTGATTTTGGTATGACCCCCCGCCTTGCTGCCCTGCATAATCACAAGGGCTATGCGCTGACTGTTTAAGGCCAGTCTGTGTGGCCACTACGAAGTCATACGCCTCCTGCTTGAGAACGGCGCCCTGTGCGAGCGCGATACCTTCCAAGGCGAACGATGTCTCTACAACGCACTCAACGACCGCATAAGAAACCTCCTCCTATCCTACGACTATGCAAAGTCGTCGAATCCCCTGCAGCCGCTCGCCGCACACATCACCTCCCTCCTTACGAGAACCGAGCCCAAGACGACCGACATTACAATCACCGCCTATGGCCAAGAATTTCACCTGCACAAGTTTCTCCTCGCCGCACGATCCCCATATTTTGCAAAGAAGCTTGAGGCAGCGCCCAACACATCCGCGTGGAAACTGCCAGATACTATCCCAGCAGAGTCGCTTGGTGTAGCGCTACAATACCTTTACTTTCAAGAGGTCTCGATTAGACGGGCGCTATTTGGACTTGACGACGAAAAAGAACGCGTGGTACTGAGCGGTATCGATAAGATCGGCAAGCATCTAGAAATAGAACGCTTGTTTGAAGACATCACCGAAGTCTCAGATCGACGATTGTTGCGCCAACGGCGCGCAGACGAACTAGAACGGGGTCGGGACCAATTGGAATCTTGGTTCAAAACAAACGTTCTCCGGCACAAGAAGGTCGTGGATACCGACAAGGTGGATAGCATACGGTGGGATCGCCAAAACTCAATCTTTGCCGATATTCTGCTGCGTGCCGACGAAGACGAAGAAGAGGATGAAACAGGCCAGCCATTGGGGCCGTCAGAGTCGTCGACCCCGCCTGTCCGAACCGCTTCTGGACCCCTCTCAGGCATACCAGTTGGTCCAGGTCGAGCACGCTCACCATCGCGCCAGCGAGCGCCGCGCAAATCGACCGTCTTCCCTGCGCATCGGGCCATGTTGCTGCGTTCTGAATATTTTCTGACAATGTTCAGCTCCCAATTCAAGGAAGCGCAGGACACACCTCACTTGCAGGTAGTGACCATTGACTGCTCGCCAGCGGTTCTCGAGACCATTTTGAGGTTTTTGTACACTGAGCGAGCAGATTTTGGCCTTGATATTGCCATTGATGTGCTGTTTGCAGCAGATCAGCTCTTTGTTGAGAAACTCAAGCAGCGTGCAGCAATTATTATTTCTGCTCTGGGCAACGGTGCAACCTCCGCGGTAGAGTCCGATAATCCCCGCGGCGCTACCGATGCTGATGAGGCTGTTGACATCTACGAAGTCATCCGGGCAGGTTGGGATACCCGTGTACAGCGTCTGGAAGAGTTTGCAGCACGGTATATTGCCTATCGCCTCGAGTATTACATTGATCAGCCTGAATTTGCCGAGCTTGTTCAAGAATCTGCAAAACGTGTCAAAGCCCGACAGGAAACAGATACTGTTGAGCTCGTTGACGATATACGGTACTATCTCTCCGAACGCTTCAGGCTCCGCTTTGAAGACAGTGGGTTGGACGAAATGATGGACGAGAATGCAGCAATTAGGGCAACAACGGAAGGAGATATCGTAGATGCAGTCGACGATCTTGCTCTGGAAGACGACGTGCCGGGGAAGACAAGAAATGACGAGAACATTGCATCAGTAGAGCAACAGGTTGCCACTGGTGTCATTAGAAATCTAGATGGTGAGGAGGTGGGTGATGAATTTGCACAAGATGCAATGAACTATCAGATTTTGCTGGGTAAGATAGATACTCTGCTAGAAAGGCTCAACTTAGATGCTTAGACGGCGAAATAGAACAAGATGTACTATTATCAGTCTTTTACCTAAAATTCTCAGTAAATTTCCGACCATGAGCGAGTGTAGTGATGGAAGCTGGTACAAGAAGCCATACTATTACTTTGCATACCCGGCTCTGGTGACATCATGAGAGTGGGGTAGTGCGAACGGCAGCTTCCCCACCAAGCGGCCGATAGCAGCTTGACAAATACCGAACCAGCTCATCATGCGCGCCATTGCTTGTACAAGATCGATTCTCCAATCTACTCCTACTCGCCTTGCTGCACACAACTTGCGCCGTGCTTCAATTGCTGTGCCAAGATCTGTTTCTAGCTACCAGCGCCCGAGTGCATATAAACAAGAGCTTACCACACCAACAACACGACCCATTGCAAACATGTCGACACAATCCACGCAGTCGCAGGCATGCTGCAACACCCCCGCTGTAGTCAGCGAGGGCTACCAGCCCAAGGGCGACTACATCCAGGTTGATGGCCTAAAGACATGTAGGTTCCATCAATTGCCCGTCATAGTGTATGCTAATAGTAGCACAGATGCGACTGGCCCCAAGGACGCAAAGATCGGTATCTTGGTAGTCTACGACATCTTTGGCTTCTTCAACCAGACTCTGCAGGGAGCCGACATCCTCGCTTACACAGACAGTCAAAAGTACCAGGTTTTCATGCCTGACTTTTTCGAGGGCAGCCCAGCCGACATTTCCTGGATGCCACCAGACAACGATGAAAAGAAGAAGAAGATGGGCGAGTTCTTCCAGACGAAGGCTGCACCTCCAAAGACTCTACCGCGTATCCCCAAGATTGTAGATGAGCTGAGCCAAAAGAACGGCATTGAGAAGTGGGCCATTGTTGGCTACTGCTGGGGTGGAAAGGTATGCTCGTATGATTTCATGAACTGAATACACGCTGACACCGCGTAGATTGTCAACCTCTCGTCAATGGAGGGCACAAAATTCAAGGTCGCAGCGGCGTGCCACCCCGCTATGGTTGCTGGCGACGATGCCCCTGGCATCACCATCCCCTATATCATGCTTCCATCGGGTGACGAGGACAAGAATGATGTAAAGAAGTGGCAGGAAGGCATCAAGGTTCCTCATGTCGTAGAGTGGTTCCCAGACCAGATCCACGGCTGGATGGCTGCTCGCAGTGACTTGAGCAAAGAGGAAGTAAGGAAGGGTTACGAGCGCGGTTACAAGCTGGTACTGGACTTTTTCCACAAGCACCTGTGAGTTGAGAAAGACTTGAACGACTGGTGAAGAGGAAGCTGAGTGTGTTAGGGCCGGAGAGGCGAAGCTCTGAAGAAGATATGTAATTGATGTAATCTGATAAGAATAGAGACGAATAACTATTTTTATGCCATAAGAGATGAAGTGAAGTGAACAGGACCTATTGCCAAAAGACGTAGAGATCATAGACTATATAGCTTAGGACTGCTAATCTGGGAAATTTGGTTTTTAGCATTCATCATTAGGAGCAGCGGTTGTGCCCGATCAGAATGTGTCAATAATAATCGTGCTGCACGCATTATGAGCAACGCAGATGTTTGGTCAAAGCCGCCTGCCTGCTCAACACCTGTTGGCGTGGAGCTGCGACGTCTGTTGCTACTATATAGATCTATTGCATTTAGGTTAGACCTACAATAAAACGCTTGTACAATCTAGAGTAGATCCTCAAGAATCACCAAGGAAATTTTCTTTTTGGGATGTATTGGAGGCTGGCTTTGCCTCTTTGAATTCACATGTAACGTAGGTTAAGCGCTGATTGAAGGACCCGGACTACTACCCACCTCACTGTCGCTCTGTACATCCGAGTCAAGCTTCAAATACTGGTTCGCTAGCTTTGAGAGTTCTTCGTCGACCGGGACGTCCGAAATATCAATGATGCGGGGATACCACTCTGACTGTGTCTCAACCACCAGACTAGGACTCTCATCAGCTGCTGTTTCCGGCGTCTCTAAACCCTGTAGAATTCGTGCTTCTTCCGGTCGGAGCTGGGATTTCATGATGTAATATATCGTCCTTGTTATGTAGTAATTGCGGCCTTGTTCGCGTAGGCCTTCAAGAGCCAGAAGAAGACTCGATCGGTTCAATTCAAGCTCTTCCGGCGTTGTCGAGTTGTTGAGGTTGTGCAAAGACATGAAGCCCAGTTTTGAGAGTGGGGATGTTAAGTAGACATGCGCGGCTTTGAAGCCGTGTCGAACATAGTACAGTCGTACGAGGACATTGATATCGCGCCTTGCGTTCAGAACAATATCTTTGGGAGAATATTCATCAATCAACTGATTAGCAGTAAAAGGCTGGCAAATTGTCATAATGACAATATGATAATCAAGGCTAATAGGTCAGTCAGTTGGGTTCCTTTGATTTTAGAGTGAGAAAAAAAAGAAAAAGATGACTTACTGCATAAGAAAATGAGCGGGGAGTACAATGTTTTTAGTCTCGAGAACTGTAGGGAGGTCCTTGAACCAGCTCATAAACCGGCTCACGAATATCATCGCTTGCTGTGCCGAGAGTGTTGAATCCTTGCCAAATGACACATAAGACAGTTCGCAAAGGATTACCCTAAAGTTAGCTATAGCTTTGAAGTAATGCCCATAATATGTCGGCGACAATGCTTGACTGAGAGGGTACCTGGTCCATATCTCGCCGTACCAGGCCGAGTTTGTAGCAGGATCGGGAAGCGGAACCTTGGGTGGCTCAACCAGAACGGGTGGGCGGAAATATTGCCAAGAAATATGACTGTTACTCTGGTATTAGTCGTCTGGAATGTAATTAAGACACGAAGCACTTACCTATAAATGTTGAAGAGACACCACGCAGAGAAGTTCCTAGCTTTGCGTTTTCGCTCAGACTTGACCCCTGCATTTCCACTGAACAGCTTTAGATCTCTAGCAATAGCAAGACCCTTCAAGCCGTAGGCACTGCCAAGGTTGTCTAAGCCGTAGATATTGTAAACACTGTTGATGATTATCGCGGCTTGGACCGACGCAAGATTGCGATTTTTACCGCTAACAGAGAGCATTTCCCAAATCCTCCTTGCTTCAGCGAAGAAACGGTATCCAAGGCCATCAGGTTCCCAATGGCGAAAGCGATTCGAAATTTTCTTGTAACAACACTATTGGGGCAAAGTCAGAGCATTGATTTCGTGTACCAAAGACGCAAAGTAATACTTACGCATGCATATGCTAGCGTGGCATTCACTAGCGATGCGAAACTACTGGATGTCCTCGAATTGGGCGATTTAACACTTGACAAATCCTCCAAAAAGTAGTCCTTGTGAAATACTGGCCAGATGTGGTATTCATGTGTGAAATATGCATCCAGTAGCTTTCGCATAAGTCCTTCATCTCCACAAACCGTAGTCCACTCCGAAATTCTCGTATTCTCGAGGCGGGGCTCCACAAATATTGCTGCATGGTATGGTTTGACATACATATCCTGATACGTCTGTGCAGTTTTTGCTGGAACAACAGACTGTTGAGGCTCTGTGGCTGAAGACTCCTGCGTCTTCGAGTGCAAGGCACACTGTGAAACCGCTTCATAGATCAACGAGCCGAGGTAAGGGCTTCCAGATGTCCGTAGCAATTCTGGCATGTCGCGACTATAAGGAAGCTCATATCGGAGTCTGGTTTCTGGAATAAGCTGCATTTGCGACAACAAACCGCCGTCTCTAACGTGGTTCAAGATAGCGCTAACGTCTCCTCTAGCCCTTACTCGTTTAAAAAGCTCGAATGCATCCTGCTCAGGTAGTGTTTGCATAAGCCTAATTAGCTCCTCATGTGCTGACTGTTCCCTTCGCAGATCTTCGTACTTTCGCTTAGCTTGACGTGCTTCTGTTTCGACGTATCGGCAAACCGTGTTGCGTTCAAGGCACGCCCTACATGTTGGCTTCTCACTGGTGCACTACAGATCGGTTAGCACTTCGACGAATGCCTCTCGAGGTGATTTGTAACCTTTGTTTTGCTTATACGACAAGGCTCGCATGCCTGCGATCGTGACTTCTTCTGTTGGTTGTCTATCGACCCTACTGGCGGTCCTCTGTCGACCCTTCCTGTTGCAGGTAGTATTTGACGGAAGCTTTTATTCATATTTCTGATAAGCTCTCGCCAGATATATCTCCGTGGTGAAGTGTAGACTTACTTCTTAAAAAGAAACGTCAAGATGACGATTGGTGGGGAAATTGCCCGCCAGTCATATTGTTGCAACATTTCACACCCAGTACATACACAGGTTGCGGTGACTGGTCTCGAAAACTTCTCCGCAACAGCATTATCCATTCTGTTACTTCTTTCAGTTCAACTGTTGAGATAGTTGCCCCATGACATATTTCACATCCGTGCAGAGAGCATAGTACGAGAGATGTTCAAGGTGGTCCAACCATATATTTAAAGTGGAAGTAGGCTATAGTTGCTATGGGACTGCGACACAAGGAGCGCTCTATTCCGCCCTCGCATCATAGCCTTCGATGGGCAATGGTCACATGAATGTATTAATATTTACTACCCAACTGCAGAGGATCTCATGAGGAACTCATTGAACACGATGCTATCGAAGCAACGAAGGTGTGCACAGGTATATGCGCCTTTAATATTATCATACATACGAAAATAGCGATAGCTTGCGCCGGTAAGTAGACTGCGCTTCGAGGCTCTCGCAGAGACATGGTCTTACGCATAGGAATCATGTAATTTCGCAAAACATCATCCAGATTGACGTCGATGTACTCAACAAGATGTAAAAGCTTCAAGAGCCTTTTATCACAAGTGCTTGCGTCAACCTCGGATGATTTGAGCCTAGTGCACGAAACCTTTTTGTATTGGATAAGTCTCGATGTGCTAATCAAGTCACGAGGCAGCAAAAGGTATACGACCAGGAGTCTTCTTAGTTTATGTGTTTACCTGTTAGCCTAAACTCTCATTTTTACGATCCACACATAGCAAAATGCCAGCAAAATCGAAGATAAACCGCCCACCATCATATCTACTACCCAATTTTCATACGATTTTCACGATAGTTCACGTCCAAACCACCTCACTTTCAGCAAAAGAAAAAATGTGCAAGATCCTTCGCCAGTTCATCAGTCACCCTATTTGCGGTGCGGATCACAGGCATTCCTAAACCCGCATTGCAAGGCGCGCCACTGTCTCATTTCAGTATCTAGCAGCGCATAGCATGGGGAGAACATCGAAAAGCAACCAAACCGGTAGACAGTGTGTACGCTCTCATGGGCATCCTTGATGTTAGCGTGTCTCCAATTGATGGGGAGAGTCCAACAGAAGCGATGATCCGAGTCGAACACGAAGTCGACAGGCAAAACAAGTGTGTTCAAGACCTACAATCTACCAACCCTCACAATGACAAGAAACGCATTGAAGCAACGAAGGGCGGTCTACTGGCTGACCCATACCGCTAGATCATCGAAAATAGCACCTTCCAGAAGTGGCAGCAAGATCTTAGCACTCGACTACTCTGGATCAAGGGCGATCCTGGTAAAGGCAAGACGATGCTGATGTGCGGCATAATTGACGAGGTGCAGAAGACTACAAGACACAACAACACAGTCGCGTACTTCTTCTGTCAAGCCACCGACATGCGTATCAATAATGCCGTAGCGGTATTGCGGGGCTTGTTGTATATGCTCGTGATTCAGAATTCGTTACTCACTTCGCATATTCGAAAACGGTACGACCAAGTTGGCAAGAAGCTATTCGAGGACGCGAATGCTTGGGTAGCCTTGCCACAAATTTTGTGGACATGGTGCGCGACAAAGACTTGAATACCGTTTACTTATTTGTTGATGCTCTTGATGAGTGCGTCGCAGATTTACATAAGCTTCTGGACCTAATAATTCTTACTACCACCAAATCGCCTCATGTGATGTGGCTGGTGGCTAGCCGAAACGAGGGCCATATCGAGCAGAAACTGAAGTCGGTCAGTGACGAGGCTAGGCTGAGCCTAGAACTGAAGCAAAATACAACGCAGTGAACAAGCGCGCTTTAGCCATCTTTAGATCTTCTTCTCAGCTGTTGACGTCAAACAAATGCAAGCGTTCGCCCATTGTTATGGCTTGTTCAAGAAAGAACGTGCTAAGTGTGTCCAGACTATTGGAGATGTAGGTCAAGCTCAGTACCAATGCTACTTGTATCGTAGTGATCCGGAGGGTTTCCATCAATTCTAAATCCCATAGTCTTCTTGCTTCTGCCAGGAATCTGTATATGAGAGACTCTGGATGCCATACCTTGACTCGATCTGGAACGTCAATGCACATTTGCTAAGATTTGTCTTAGTATAAATGTGTGCCAATAGGGACAAAGAGTTGCTACACTTGCGATAGATAAGACAGCGTTTACCAGTAGCGGCGAACAGAACGAAGTTCCACCTGCTGCCATATCTTCTAGGAACAGGTCCTTGTGCACTAAAGGGGCGCACGGGTGTGGGCCAATGAAGTAGAGGGAGATGAGCCGTCTTAGCAGGCGATTGTCAGAAGTGACCATTGTCCATGGTGTTGTCGTGATTTTGTCGATCAGTGGCTCGACCATTTTCGTAGTGTGATATGGCATCATATACGCACTTCCATACTTGGTGGTGAGCTGCCTGTTTTCGGCGTGAGTGTAGGCTGAGGATGAGGAGACAACCTTGTAGAGGCACGAACTTATGTGCGAATTGTCTATGACAAACAAGTGACTAGGCATCTTGGCCATGTAAAGGAATTCGTTTTGGTAAATAGTCTCTGATATGAGGGGCAATTGCAAGAGCAAATTCCCATCTCGTACATGCTTCACGATGGAGTCAATGTCCGTACCAGCCTTCAGAAGACGAAAGACCTCTGCAGCGTCTTGTTCTGTCATTGTTCTTAGAAACCCGATGAGATCTTCGTACGTAGATTGCCGTTGCTGCAAGGATCCGTGTTTCTTCCGAATCTGGCACGTTTCTGTTGGCTTATAGCGGCAGGTTGAGTTACACTTGGTGCAGGCAGCACGGGTAGACTTGCCATTACAATAGGTTTGTTAGCACGCTATGAGGATCGCATATAAGATCGCTAGTAGTTACATACATATTCTTAACTTGTGTCGGCGGTAGCTCTCACAGGTCAGTACTACCTGTCGTCTCTTCGGATGATCCTCTACTGATGGAGTCTTCCGAGGCCGTACAGCTGATAGAAGTGGTCGAAGAGGGGTCATAGTGCGCGTGTCTACCCAACTATAGCCATGAACAGGCCGCGGAGAACTGTATGTTGATTATATGCATAAGCGTTCAACAACCTTCGAATATAACCTAGAAATCTATTCAGAGATAGCGGTGATTAGGAACTTCATGGCGATTATTGATGGCGTAGTGTGGGGCCGCAGAGTTCACCTCCTGACCAATTAAATACCGCTAGATGGCCTACTTCCTTACAATCTCAAAGACAGGTGGACCTGAGCGAGCGCAATACATTCTTACCTATGTGCCTGGATATTTCAGGGGCTTATATATTGAAGCTATTTTGGAGACTGTTTTTTGGTGTTTGTTGCGTACACCTAGAGCAAAAGAGAGGAGGGTTGTTCCTGAGTGAATCACGTGATGATTCGGGCTTTATCCCCTAGTCAGTCAAGAACGATCACTACATTATACTTAAGTTGTCCTTCACTATCCTTCCTAAGGTGATTTGAATTACGCATAGGCAGCAATCATGAAGCAACATTGATACTCGCTCGTCTAAGACTTGGAGTGTCAGTAGAAGACGTTGTGCAATCCTTTGGCACTAGCAGCACCTCGACAACATTAGCGAACAATTAGAGTTTTGTTATTACAAATAGAATATATCCATGTATCGACTCCATGGCCATTTCGACAAGGCTGGGCTTAGCAAGCCGTCATTCCTTATAGCCTCACGCTGATTCGACATGGAACCCATATACCTAAACACCCAAGTTCATACGATGCTTGAATGCCGAGTCTTTTCTTCCTGACAGTGAATTTTTTTTCTACGTCATAGGAGGGGATTGTAGTAATGTTCACGTACCCTCCACCGAACCCCCCCCCCCCCCCCCCCCAAAAAAAACAGACCCCATTACGTGCACTGTGGATCAACAACCCCCCCGCAATGTAACCATACACTCCCGACGTAAATCTTATAAAACAAACATCAAATAGAATTTCACCTAATGGCGATTGTTGATTGCATCTATGATATTAGCCAACCCGCGTGCACTTGTATCACGACACAAATAGCGAGTGATCGGTATGGACCGGTGATTCGTGGTAACTTCGGTACACGCACAAAAGGGTTGAAGGGAAGGGTAAGAGAAAAAAAAGTATACGTATGTGTTGAGGGAAGAAAAGGCTGTGAGACCCGCATCCTTTTTTGATCTCCTTCGTGCACATGGGACTTTGGTGTACACGACTGAGACAGCGTTTGGGGGCTGAGAAGGTAAGGGTGATAAGAGTGATACAGTATCAGAATACGAGGAGAGGCATATTGAAACGGGAAGTCAGGTAACACAGCGGGGAGAAGAAGCCATGGCAACTCGAAGCATAGAAGAGCAGGAAAGCAAGCGACGCCGCTTCTGCCGGTACATAGGTCAGATACTCTGTTTCGCAAGCTGGGATCCAGCACGGATACTTCACCGCGATGAATTCGACTGTTTCGTCGGGCACTGAGAAGTTCAAGGGAGAGCTAGACTAGCCACCTCACTTCATCATCTCTCGAATCGTAACCTCCACCGGCACTGGCGTCCTCCCCGCCTCCCTCAAGATCCCCTCGAGCGTATCATCCTCAATCGCGCACTCCCCCTGCTCCAGCGCTTCATACGTGCTACTCCACCACTCCACTGCCGCCCTCTCCATCCCCATCTCCTGCACATAATAATCCTCATACTCCTTCCTCTCCACAACCTGCAGCTTCACCTCCTCCCCCCTAATCTCCCCCACCAACCGCGCAATATCCCCCAACGACCTCGTCTCCTTCTGACTAAGATAAAACGTCTTCCCCAACCACCTCCCCGGCTCCCCCGCCAGCACCTTCGCAGTCGCAAACCCCATATCCTTAATCGCCGTCCAACTCACCCTCCCATCCCCCGCAACCACTACTTTCTTCCTCTTCTCCTCACCAAGACCATAGTAATACCCGAAATACAGCGGCCAGCTCTCATTGTACAGCCCCTCGCGAATCACCGTGTAATCCACCACACCCCGTTTCTGGAGGTCTTCGAGATATTCTTCAGTGCGAATATGCGCGCGCATGACGCCCGCCCGCGAGGGCCGCGCAAAAGCGAGCGAAGTGTAGTAAATGTGTCTAACGCCTACGGCGACAGCCGCGTCAATGGCGGCGCGGTGGTGCGCTTCGCGACCGGACCAGAGGGGTGCGGAGTTGTAGTCCATAGCGATTGCGGGTGTGGAAACGAGGAAGAGGCGGGTGCATCCTTTGTATGCGGTGCGGAGGGAAGATGGGTCGGAGAAGTCTGCGTGCCGGATTGTGAGGGAATGGGCGTGTAGGTGGGAAAGGCGGGGGGAGGAGGGGTCGGTTGAGGTCTGTTGGGGGGAGTCAGTTGGTTGGTGTGTTTCGAAGTGGATGGGGGATAGAGAGGGAAATAAGGTGGGTGGGTTCTCTGGAGCGAGGGGGATGAGAAGGGAGGTGAGAGAGACTTACACAAACTACAAGCTCCTTTGGATCAATGAGTTTATGCTCGAGGATAGCGTTGAGGACTGCGCCGCCCAGCTTTCCAGTGGCACTTGTTAGAGCTAACATGTTGTTGCAGTTGCTATTGCAAGTTCGACAATGTCGTCTCAGTATTATACAAGTGTCCTCGCTCTTTCTTTTCTTTTTTCTTCTTCTTCTGGGAATCATCTTTTTTACCCTCTATTTCTACTTTGATATGTGCTTGGTGATTGTTATTACTTCCCCGAAAAGAAATCGCATTTGTCATCTGGACATACATCATGGAGCCATGACGTCTATTGACAACCCAGGGTCCACAGCCCACGGCAATTGGAAACAAAAAACCTGTGGGGCTCGGACATTATTAGCCGCATAAAATCCGAAATTGGTTCTGTAACGGGTGGTCTCTGATTTGCCCATAACTACACCAAGAATAACACTAAGAACAACACTGACATGCGCTCTCAAACAGTAAGTGTATGCATTTACACAAAGTCCTCAATATCAACATTTGGCTATATATGACCTCTTATATGCAAAATCCGCCCTCTTCTTCACTCTTCCTTTCTCCCTGTAATCAAACCCTAAAACCAATTGGGGGTGTACCGCCCCTGTAAAAGTTGCCTGAGACAAAAGAAACGCCGATAATGATGCTTGCTGAAATTCCCAACCCAGCTTATATACCCGCTGGTTTTAAATGACCGTAGATATTTGTCGTTAGATGCAAAGAAATGTAAAAGAATAAAATAAAACAGTGCTTCGGTATTAGAAGCGTCTATGCATAGCGCACACTGCTTCGATGTACTGGCGGTGGCATCGGAACATCCCCGTTGGGTGCATTCCCATTTGGTGTCCAATGACCTTGTTGCGGTCCACTTGGTGGATATTGGTTGTGATTGTTGTTGTATTGAGTCATTTGTGGTTGGCCCATGGGGTCGTTCCTGTGCCTTCTGCTCTGGCTGCTCTGGTAAGGCATTGGGGGTGGTCGAGCAGCGGCGTACTTCTTGAGTCTTGATCGGCGGCGGTAGGAGCGCAAGCAACAGCAGAAAATACATAGGAGAAGAGCACCACCAACTCCTGCAGCAATACCAATCACGAGGGAGAGATTGCGTTGGATCCAGGTGGTGATTTCTTTGCCGACAGAGCCGCCTTGGCAAACACCCTAGATACTGTTAGTGATTGAAGAAAATAGTAAATAATGACTTGACATACGTTTTGACATGTGCCTCCTCCTGTACAGCTAGTGCCATCCAGGAAGTTTTGTTGTAGTCCATAACATCTGGCACCAAACTCTGGGCTTGCACAGCTGAGCATGCAGTTGCTGTTGTCGCAAGCATAGGTATCATTTCCTTGGGTGTAGCTTCCCATGATAGTCTTGCACTGCATGTCTCTGCTTGTGCATTGACCAGAGGCACAGGTGAGACTATTGCCGCAGTCGGTACCATCGGGCTTGGTCTTGTCCTCGGGGCAGTACGGTGAATTTCCAGTGCAGGTCTCCTCGGGATCGCACGTGCCGACTGAACTGCGGCAGACTGTGCTGGCTGAGGCGAACTGGCAGTTGCGGCAGCAGTCTTCGTTGGAATCATCGCATACAGCATTGTTGATGAACTTGCAGGTTTGCGGGTTGCAGCAAGCATTGTCCTTGCAGCCTGAAACGCCACCGCAATCACACTCCTCGTCGCCTTCGACAATACCATTGCCGCAGGTTGGTCCAGATAGCAGGGTGACATCGCGGTTATTGGTGAGACATTGAGATTTGACGCTATTACGTCCAAGCGCTGAGCAAATATTGCCAATAGTGCAAGGGGAGAAGCGTGAGATGCCATCCTTTGTCGAGGGATTCATGATGAAACCACCATTTGCGTCGCAAGAGCTCTGAGTAAAGGGACAACATTGTTGCGCATTGACAACGTCTTTGTTGGCACATGTTTGTGATGTGCAGTCGTGTACGGCACCATAGGTATGGCCTGTTTCGTGGGCAATGACTTCCCATTCGTTGTCGGTCCTGATGACTACGTTGGCACCGGCAACCGTCTCGCCAGCTTGTCCAGTGTTGTCTTGAGAGCCTGCTGTGCAAGCTTGTCCAAGCCAGGCGAGTCCGACGGCAGATCCAGTGTTGCAGGTTGACAGAAGAGTCCAGTGGGAGTAGCTGTCACTTTGCTGTCCTCTCCACTTGGAGAACTGGTTCAAACGATCTTGAATCGTGATGCTGCTACTGCAGGCCTGGTTCCAGGGTGTGGCTTGTTGTTGCTGTGTCGGGCAATCCGGCTCCGTGATGAGGAGATTGGCGACACCAAGTGAAATGTTAAAGGAGCTTTCAAAAACCTCAGAAGCAGAGTTCATTGCGGCGATGATGTTGGCTTGCGTCTTGTTCTTGTCTCCGTTAAAAGACGTCACATAGGTGCAGTCGGCAGCTACACCGACAAGCGCAACCTTGCGAGTACTGGGACAGCCGGCAGTCTTGCCAATGGTGGACGAGAGATCAACACCCGCACCATTGCCTCCGGGCTGTAGGTCATCCTGTCGCTTGAACATGGTAGTGATGAGAGACGGCGACATGGCCGATGACTCGTCTCGCGCGCGCATACTAGCAAAGACGGGGTGGTGTTCCTGCGTGTTAAAAATGAGGTCGTCGGACGGACACCCAACTTCTTTTGATCTTTTCTTGAGTTCCATGTTTTCATCAGAATTCCTGCCCTTTCCCATGTCCGAGTCGCGGAACACGACCATGAACTCTTTGGGACGCAAATCGACATCGGGATCCTCGGCCATACGCGTAGCCTTGTAGCTCGAAGCCATCTTGACATGGTGGTGGTCGTGGTTAATAGAAAAAGTGCCTTCGAACAGCGGTTCCAGACCGTCCTCGCGCAAGCCAATGCGCGCCCATCCGACATTGTCCCATCGGTTACCCCTCTTTAGCCACGCCTTGCCCTTGTAAACTTTGTGTTGCAACCGGTCAATCGGTTCGGATCTTGCTATTGATCCATCTGCGTTGAGATGTGTTATGCGTCCGCCGTCCACAAACAGGTCGTGGTTAGGCTCAAGACTCAGGCGGATGCGCTGGCCCGACACGTCAAAGGCAAGGTCGAAGGAGGACACGGCGGTCACTCGATGTGTCTGTGTGAGGATGTCGGCATTCTTGACGAGGGCAATTCTCTGCAGCGGCTCGCGGGCGCGTGAGGCAGCAGAAGCGACAGTGGCGAGGCCAATGACGAGGGCAGTCTGGAGACTGCCAAAGAGGCGCATTCTCGCTCGAGTGGCGGTGCTCTCCGTTCAGGAGATGGGCGAGGGGGGCGCAGAAAAGGTGTAAAAAACAACAAAGAGGAGCAGGGCGGATATCAAGATAACGCAGCGAGAGACATGGGTAGGGAAAAAAGGACGATGGAGTATAGAGAAACACTAGCAAAGAGGCAAAAGGGCTATTACTGAGCAAAACGATGGCGACGACGGCGAACAGTGGAGAGTCGTAATCGCTGTGCACAGCCCCCTGCTAGCCACCGTCTTGGCAGCCGGCACTCGGAAGCAGAGGGGGGCCTGGGCGCGACACGGATGAAACTATGGCAGCGATGCTGCTTGCCCTCGTGAGGGCCGCGACACCCTCGTCACTCTATACGCGGGCATACGGCTATGCGGCTGAACATGGTGCACAACTGCCACTGCAACAACGGTTGACATGCTGCTGAGCCCTCTCCCCTTTCCTGTGTCGGCACCCAGCGGGAACGTGGTTCATCTGCCTGTCAGGCTGGTCGTGTACCACCAAAACATGCTATACTTACATCCATACATCATTCCTTACTAAGTACTCGACAGGCATGCAGGCATACCTGAGACATCGGACAAGCACCCAAACAGCACCTTTCCTGTCCTTCTCCCCGCGCATACCACACCCGTCTCACCATGGAAACGCCTGTACTCGGCCCATCTTGCCCTATAACAAAATCAACTAAACTACTTTGTATTCCGCCGCTATCCCATTTGGATATGACCCTGCTCGCTGGTTGGCCTCCCTCTGCAGACATCCCCACTGAACTCCCAACTGTTGCCCTCTCAACCACTGACAGGCCTCTCTGATAACCCTTGCCAAGTCGAGCCGGCTATTTCTTCTTTGCCTGGTGCACAATGTCGATGATCTTGTCGACTATCGACGGATCCGAGAGCTGTCCCACATGATTAGCTCGCTTTCCACAACAATACGCGTCCTCGTCATCACCATGCAAAATTGGTTGGCGGCATGCCTTGACTTACCGTTGTGATGTCCCCCAACTGGTCCTCCTCTCCAGCCAAGATCTTGCGCATAATGCGACGCATAATCTTGCCCGATCGTGTCTTGGGCAGGTCCGGCACTACAAAAATCGCCTTTGGTGCGGCAAACGGCCCAATCGACTTGCGTACTTGCATCACCAAGTCCTTCTTGACCTGATCGCTAGTCTCGGCACCGTCCTTGAGCGCCACAAACGCGTTGACGGCTTGGCCTGTCAACTCGTCATGGATCCCCACAACTGCCGCCTCAGCCACTTGGTCTGCGTAATCGTCGTTAGCCACGTGCATGTACCACCTTGTTTCTACGCTATAGCTTACGGTGCTCAATAAGCGCTGCTTCAATCTCTGCTGTAGACAGCCGGTGTCCCGATACATTGACAACGTCGTCAACGCGTCCTCGGATCCAATAGTAGCCCTCGTGGTCACGTCCTGCACCATCTCCAGTGAACTGCCGTGGTTAGCCTATGTTAGAATACTCCGCATTCCTACACTCACGTAGTAGCCCTTGTAGACTGTCAGGTATGTCTCCATGTACCGCCTGTGTGCTCCCCAGACTGTACGTGCCATGCTGGGCCATGGCTGCTTGAAGGCTAGTACACCCTCAACGTCGTTGCCGTGGATCTCTTCGCCCGAGACCGGGTCAATAATCGCAGGCTCAATACCAAAGAATGGGAGAGATGCTGATCCGGGCTTGGTGGGTGTGATACCTCCCAGTGGCGTAATGACGTGAGAACCAGTCTCGGTTTGCCAATAGGTCTATTAAACGTCAGCACATATCCCGAATATATACTGAATCAAAACTCACATCAACAACATGCGCCTCCTCCTTGCCAACAACCTCAAAGTACCACTTCCAGACCTCGGCAGCAATCGGCTCACCGACAGAACCAAGTACTCTGAGTTTCTTCATGTCATGCTTAACGTGCTCGTCACCCGCACGCTTGAGCAGCCGCAACGCGGTCGGGGCAACATAGAACTGGGTGACGTTGTGCTTGGCGACAATGTCCCAGTACCGTGAGAAGTTGGGGTAGGCAGGTGTGCCCTCGAAAACAACAGTGGCTACACCAAGCAGCAAAGGCGCATATACGACATATGTGTGGCCTGTAATCCAGCCTACGTCACCGCCGCAGAAGAAGACGTCGTTGTCGTGAATATCAAAGACGTACTTTCCAGTCGCCGCAGCTCCGAGAAGGTAGCCACCAGTTGTGTGCATGACACCCTTGGGCTTACCAGTAGAACCAGATGTGTAGAGCAAGAAAAGGGGGTCTTCCGAGTTCATTGGCTCTGGTGCAATGTAGCTAGGCCACTTCTCGACCTCTTCGTGCCACCACCAATCCCGGCCCTTTGTCCAGGGCACTTCAGCGCCGGTACGTTTGTAGACCAGGCAGTGGGTGATGCCGGGGCATTGCTTGAGAGCATCGTCGACAATCTTCTTGGTGCTGATGGTCTTGCCGCCGCGCTTGCCCTCGTCGGTGGTGATGACGACCTTGCACTCAGCATCGTTGATACGGTCACGTAGTGAATCAGACGAAAAGCCGGCAAACACGACAGAGTGGATGGCACCAATACGTGTGCATGCCAAGAAGGAAATGACTGCCTCGGGAATCATGGGCAGGTAGAGAGCAACAGTGTCGCCTTTTCGTACGCCCATCTCCTTGAGTGTAAAAGCTAGCTTGGAGACCTGGCGGAGGAGCTCTCCATATGTGATGATGCGTCCATCGCCCTCGTCGTCAGCCTCGTAGATGATGGCGGGCTTGTTGGGGTCCTTGAAGGCATGGCGGTCAACACAGTTGTAGCTGGCATTCAGTCTACCCTCTACGAACCACGCAGTGTCGCCATGCTCAAAGCTGCCCGAGTGTACCGTCTCGAAGTCGCGCTCCCACGTGAGCAGTTCGCGAGCTAGCCGGCCCCAGAAAACCTTTGGGTTGGTAATCGACTCCTTGTACAGCTTCTGGTATTCCTCTAGGTTTGCAAGGTGTGGCTTCGAGTGCGGATGCTTGCTGTTCAAGAAAAAATCATGCCAGTCGTCAGCTGCTGTCTCAATTGCTCATTCATACGACAGACAATTGCGCGCGCCGCCATTCGGCCTAACGCTCGGCGCCGCGGGGTCACCCCGCCCACCTCGTGAGCTTTGAAGCTTGGATGAACGCCGCAGCTGTCATTGTCTTGGGACATGATGTAACGGCCAAATAAATGTTGCACTCACTCGAAAAACGCCTTGGGGACGTGGAAGGTGTCGACCTCGTGGGCCTCGGCCACGACTGGAGTCGTCGGCTTGACGTTTCCCTCGGACATGGTATTTTTTCTTGCAGACGGAATGTAACCTTTGGGGTGGGGGACAAGAGGAGCCCAGGTTCGGCGCCCTGCAATTTCGCGACGAGGGTGCTCTAGAGTGTCACAAACGAGGGTTACGAGCCGCGGGCGAGAGTGGGAACGTGTTGGCTCCAACAGATATATGTAGTATATGTCTCAATACCGGGTAAAGGGGTCGGCGAATATGCGATGAGCTGCGGCAGGGGCCCCCCAACTGAAGCTGCTTGCTGAATCTTCCGGAAACCGAGCTCGCAAAGCAAAGTGGAGCTGGCTGCGCGCGTCTATTTGTAGTTGGACTGTCTACGAATGAGGCAGCTCGAATGTGAACAAGAAGGGAAGAAGGGTTGTACAACAGGATGTAGCCGATGGGCGAACGGCTCGACTTATGAAGAGCTACCTTTTTCCCACGGCTACCTCAATACTGCTGTACCCCTCGCGTGTGCCACTCGCGCGGGGACATGGAATATGACGAAGAACCCAATGCTTGTCTTTGGCTGGGCCCACCCTCCTTTGGTGGGCACCATGAACCAATGCGGATAGCAGGAGCCACGCCTGGTGCCGCCTCCGTTGCTCCGGATTACTAGTCGAGTGCGCCTGTAACCCTACTACCCAGTCAGACCATTTCCTCGTGCCGATCTCGCCCTCCATCTGTTCTGAATGTCTTCCACTGGCCACGAGGGTTGTGCCGTATTCACCATTGCGTAGATGGGTATTCTGACATGCGATCCGGTCGGGTGCAGGGAGGTTTTTTGAGGTCCGATATGCGGCTCGTAGAGGCAAGCTATCTCCGGGTAGACAGCCGGCCCGCGGATTCGCATTACTAGAGATACATATGTCTGTAGGTGAATAGTTTTGGAACACATCTCATTGGTCGCTTTTTAGTGCCATGAGCGCGGCTTAGCGTACATGATGGTACTTTTGTCTAGAGCGTGACCGGATAATAGAAACGTAGCTCGGCTTGAGAGAGGCCAAGATACTCTGTTGAAGGCTCATGGTATGAGAGTGTCCATTCGCAATGCAGCTAGGATCAAAGTACCGCATTTAAAAATGGCAGCTTGTGGAGCTAATCGCATGTACCTCCCTGAAGGAACGGGGCTTGAGCATGCGATGCAACAGGCATCAGCTTTGCGCCCCTTCGGACGTGGGGAAGGGACCAGCCATTTCCCGAGGCAAAGGTGCCGGCAATTCTTAGTACTGCTCCACGCCCAGTCGTGCCCATGTGCGCCTATGCCAACTGTTCTCTTGGGTGGAGACTGATTCAAACGACACATCTGGAGGTATTGCAACAAAAAATTTGGTGATGTAGGCTAAGCTTTCACCACACGTGTGAGTAATTCATCGTGTCTCGTTTTCGTCGCCGCCCAACCGGCTCGAGTTGTCCGAATGCTCCCAGGAGGGCATGGCAATAGATTACACCTACGCCATCTCACAATAAGGTTGGGCGTGCGGCAAAGTGTAGAAATCCTGGTGTCAACGTCCACGCATCTTGGCATCCATACATCCGTCGTCATAGCGACTGGCTTTCCATCCTAGTCACTACTATACAGCATTGGCTGACGTTTGCCGCTGTCTAGGCGCGCAGGACTGTATACGTTGGGTAGCCAATGGGAGATAGGGGCCCAGCATTGGCGGTACGGAGTTGTATACGCGAAACCCTGCAGAACTGTCTCAACTATCTTCACTTGGCGGTATTCAACGTGATCTCGTACACTGTTCCAAGTCAAAGGAGAAGCATTGGCAATGGAGTGCGATGGGATCATATATTTAGTCTACATACCCACAATTGCACCTTCCACTACCCTCGTTTCCTGTTCATCGCCAGTTGCATTTGTGCGCCTCACCAGTCCTGGACTGACTAGCACTCCTCTTCTGCCAGCTCCACCCCATTCAAACTCATATAAGTCTGGCTGTCCGAACAACCATATGCTTATCTCTCGTGCTTCTATGATAATAGATGTAAGGTCTTCATCTTTTTGCTGGTCACTACATGTGGGATTGGCCCAAGGGAAAAACGTCATGGAAAAGTGTTCAGCGACTTCGCGGGCGCTGGACTGAATCGCCCAGGATTGAGCGGACTCGGGTGTACCAGATGTACTGGTGTAAAGGTACACCGAGGTTCGTTTAAGTAGAGAGGCTGCTGCAGTGACCCCCGGGTCTGTGTAAAGTGTTAGTGGTAGTTGCTAGGAGACTCAAGTATAAACATGACGTACCCGAGCTGCTACTGTGTCTCTCAGAATTTATACTACTGAGTTCTTCAGGGAATAATGTGCCTGTGTGTTCTTCGTCCTTGTTCGAACTCGTTATGGCCATTACATACGACACGAGTGCATGCTTGAGCGCAGTAGTCGGATTCGAGCACTCTTGCAACATTTCCGTCATATTGACACCCTTTGCTCCAAAGCTAGCAATTCCAGATTCCATGCTCGGCGTGATGCTGGCATGAACGTCGCGATAGTTTCGCTCTATATGCTCATGCATCTTCTCAAACAGCGCGGATACCCTATCACACACCTCGCTGTCTCGTGCAACAGGCGGCAAAAAACCAGTGATATCCGTATATGTTGTGTGACCCACATTTACCGGAGCTGGAATTGCGGGTGGAATGGGTCGTCGAGCTAGCAGTGGTATCTGAGGCACCTGTACGTAAGGGCTATGCATGTCTCCTAAGCTACCAACGCTCTTTTGTACCATGGTAAACTCAGGCACCGAATCTCCATAACTCGGGTATCCCCTTTCACCAATGTTGCCACTCTGCTGCCTGTTCCGTCGCTTGAAAAGGAAGAATGCAGCAAGAAATGCGAGTGCTGCGCCTATGACCAGAGTTCCGACTGCGATGCCCACTACTTCTCCTGTGGTGAGTCCGCTGGTATCGTGTGCTGGTCCTTTCGCACTCCCCGCTGTCACCAAGCTTGGTTCTGAGCTGACTATAGTTGTCGATAGGGTAGGATCTATACTTTGAGTCGGAAATGTCGTAGGTATTGTGACGTCGAAAGTTTGTGCAGGTGTTGGTTTGCTTCCTCCAAGGCCATTGGTTTCAACTGCAAGTGCAGAGTCATCGGTAGTCCTCGGGAACACCTCAGGTGTTTCGGGTTTCGAGGCCGCTCCTCCTGCTATACCTAAATAACATTCAGGTATATCGTTTCGTCCATTGCATTCTAGAGGAGCTGCGTCTCGACCATGTAGATGAGGTCCTGGTATATTGTCGAAGCTCCGACCTCTCAGAAGCCGTACCATCTCCACGAAGTCCACAACAAATAGTGGAGCGAGTGACAGAAAAGATTAAAAGAATAGTGAGGAAAAAAATAAGAGGAGACGCAAAATCTTCCCAAACTAGGCGAGCTGACAATAAGACTTACCATGCCTTGTATGAGGCATCCAGCTCAGCCTCGCATGATCCAGCAGCAAGCGGAGACCGACCCATCCACCTGGAACTCTTTATTGCTTACTGTTCTACGGCTTCCACTACCGACAATGCCGCAAAGTGCGAACACCTTACCGGTATAGTGCTGATGGCCCCATGGAGTTTGACCACACATGACCAGTGTTCATACGACGAGCTGGAGTTCGACGTTGCGCTAATGTGGGGGTTGGGGGCCTTTTCTGAACGCGGTATAAACATGGCTACGCAGCCCTGTTTGCACAGCCTCCATAAGCGTGATTGCAGACAGCATACTTACCGGACTTGGTCTCACACACCGAATCACCGTTAGAGAATATTGATGAAGAGGGGTGTTTGGGTTGTCTAGTGTTATCTGAAGTTAAACTCGATGTAGTCTAGCGCCTTCTTTGCGTTTGGGGGAACTTTCTGTCAGCTCCACAGCTACCACAGTCATCTCAGCTCGTGTGCAAGATGCATACGTTGCGCTCACAAGTCCACTAGCGCTGCAAACACAAACCTGCCTTGCGTCTTTCCCACTCAATGCTATCTTCACAGCCTTGCTAACTATTGCACAAAGAGCATCCTGCGCTCCTTGTTTTCCTGCGCCTTGCAGAAACAGAAGCACTAGCCAGGTCTACTATAAATAGCACAGCGAAGCCACTGCATCCCTCTTTTTAAACGAACAATGACTCGGGGTGACGTATTGGCCGTACTGAAGTTTGACCGAGAAAGTAAAACCTATCAGCCTATCGGAGCAATGACAACACCCTACACGCATTGTGCAATCGTAATGAGGACCTGATCCTACTTTGTATGCTCAGTATCATGTACGGTGTAATCGTGCACACGATTTTTGAACCAACACCAGTATTTTATCCCTTTCTCTATGAACAGATCATGATGCATCTCCATACAAATATGCATCCAAGATAGTTATTCATTGGCCATTTCGTAATGCCTGGTTCTGAGCAGCCCATTACATATTAGACAAGAGTGACAGCCAGCTGACAACATCTGCTCAACCAGCTTAGTACTACACAGCCAGTGATTACCAAAAGACAATTTGCAAAGTCCAACAACAAGCGGTCATCCTTGGAGGCTCGCGCGCGTACAACCTCGTTGGTTTTTTCATCGTCGCGCCCAAGTATAGCGCCGCAATATGAGCTCATGATGCCTTCACAGCACATGATATCAACTGTTATCACCAATCCCTCTTTGGCCACACTCTGCCCCCTAGACATTAGTTCAACCAGCATCCAACATTACAAGTACAATTCCCCCAAGAACCAAACAACAAATTCACATTTATGATTAAACTCTACACTACGTATTTGCCGACCACAAAAACATGGTTGACCTATCTCCACACACACTCTACCCAAGCCCCACACCAGCCACAAAAATGACAGACTCCAAGATGCTTGAAACAATGAACGAACCCATTGACCCCTCATACCTCATTCCCATCCTCGCCATTGATCTCCTCCTCACTATGCTCCTATTTCTCGCCTTTGCATTGCTAGCCTTAAAATTGTTCAGACTAACGTGTATGTCTAGAAACCCGACGCCTGTTTGGGTTTGAATTGTTTTTTTCTTCACTCTTATTAGTAGTAGCTTTTTTTCTTGCTGGTGCTGACGACAAAGTTAGACAACAATGAAGTACTGTTGTACCGCCGACTCCGCGAGATTAAAGAAGCATGGGCTCAGTTGAAGAAAAGTGCGCCTTCGTCGTTTGTGGGACAAGGAGAGAAGGTGTAGCGATTGGATTCAGAGGAAGAGAGGATGGGACTGATGTTTTATGTGGTTGAACGACTTGGTGACGATTATGCTGTTGTGGGATATCGTGCTCGTGCTCTTTTGTTAAGGAGAGAGTGTAAGGGGAAGGAAGAATTTCGTAATGGATTAGGAATCTTTGGATCTTTGGAGTGATTGCCATTACCTGTGCACTATCTGCGCAACCAAATTCGCGGTGTGAGTCCAATACCTGAAAGAACCTCACAAGTCCTATCCATCTACTCAGCATGCTTCTTCCTGTCTTCATCGTTGTAGTCGCCAGAGTGTTGCTTCGCCGGTGTCTCAGGAGCCGCCTTGCCAGACCAACCCTTCACAAAACCACCAATGTCCATATTCCTTGTCTTCTGCTGCATAACCACCAAAAGGCTCTCTTCCTGCTTCTTTTCCGCTTGCTTCTTCAATTCCTCCTCATCCTCACCTCCTTCTCCCTTTTCACCTTCGTTCTTGCGCCGCTCTTCTTCCACCTTTTTAGTCTCTTTGCGCAGATCAGCTTCCGCGCGTTCTACTTCTTCAATGTCAACATCCTCGAACCCTATCTTGCGTAGAATCGAACCTGTAATGAAGCGATATTGGAGATGACCGTCCACCAGTTCGGACACGTCTACGTTCTGTACACTGTGTACACCAACAACGGGCTGGAGCCCGGCGACACCGAGCTGAACGGAAGAAGTGCGGTATAGGAAGCCAAGGATGTAGTCGTTTTTAGAGAAGACATTGACACAACGCCCGCTGACTACAGAACGGATGCGGCGCCAGTCTTCGGCATCGGAAGGGCAAGGAGCACCAACAAGGACGACATTTTCAATGAGACCAAAGGCTTTACGGTCGGCAAGCTTTTGCAGGCAGGCAAAGATGAGGCGCGCGCCGAGAGAGTATCCTACTAGAGTGACTGGTCGTTCGCCTTGGACTTTGTTGATGAGAGCATCGGCGAGGACTTCTCCTGCTTTCTCAGACCGGTATTTGGCCACGGAAAATGGGTTGTCCAACAGGGTTGCGATCTTGAGCAGACCAAGAGGCCACAATGCAGCTGTCATTGCAGCAAAGACGGTTTGTTCAATGATCTTCTTCTTCGCATAGCCCCATGCTGCACTTGTAACAAACGTCTCGAGGCTGTGCCCGAGCTTAAGAAGCGCCTCAAGCTCCCACCGTAACGCAAAGCCCTCTGTCCCCTTGCTGATGTAACGCCACGGCTGGCTGACCTCCTCAGGCTTGCGAAGCCAACCGGATACAGCAATGGCTACTCTAAGACGTCGAGACTCGTTATCTTGTTTCTTAGGGTCCTGTGTACGGTGGATTGGAATAAAGGCAAAGTCCTCGACTTCTCGTGCGTACTCGTCCATAGCTTTCCCAGTCATCTTCGCACCATAAGCACCAAAAAGTCCACCCACAAGAACAGATGACCCAGCGAGTGTGCCAAGATAACCTGCTGCCGCGGTAGCTCCTAGGCCAACTCCACCCATTACACTTCCGACACCTGCTGCGAGTAGAGGAGCAGCGAGGCCACCAGTGACGCCGATAAGTGCAGCACCAGCTACACCCGCTAGTCCAACTTTCCATCGGCGAGCTGTTTGCGAGGCTTCGGCTGCTTTTTTGGTCTCTTCATCTGCATTGAGCTGTTGGGATGCCGCCTCCAATAGGCCTTGCGCAACAGTCTCCTCGTCTTTCTTAAGGACGTCCCTACCCAGCCCAAGCGAACTTGTGAGGTAGAGGATCAAAACGCGAGAGTGCGCAGAGTAATGTTCCAAGCTCAACACGATAAGTACCAGCGAATGTAAGACGAGAGCACGTTTGCTCTCTTCCAGTTTAGTAAGATTGGTGGGAACAGGAGGGTACAAGGCTTTGAACATCTTTTCCTCATTCTCCTCCTTATCGTCGAGCTTCTCGATACTAGTCAAGCTAGCCTCTGACTTACTGATTATTGTTTCGGTTTGCTGGCTCTCCACTTCTTGAGCTTGCTTCCTGGCCTTATCTTTTGAGTTGATCACCTCGCCGACTCTGCTGACAACTTGGCCACGCCAATCGTCAAAGTATTTCAGCATCTCCTTCTTCAGTTCCTGCACCTCCGGTTTCGCAAGCTCCTCTTTAGCCTCCTCCTCACGCTTCTGTCTCTCTTTCTTGATCTTGTCTTCTTTCTCGACGTCGACATTATCGAGGTCGGAAGGTGCATCCCTCAGAACTTCTTCTTCTGACTTCGCGGTCTTCTCGTTAATCGGAAATTCTTCGGCAGTGAAGGTCTTGACTAGAGATTGTCGCATCGCAGCTGTAATGGTAGCTATCAGAAAGGTCAACTCGGCGCATTGTTCCGCATCGAGAAGCGTTGTGAGGGATGTTTCATCCTTGTCCTCTGACTTTGAATGTCCCAATGACGATAATTTGGACGCCCAACCTGCCATTTTCACAAGTCCAATTAGCACGCTGGTTTGGTGAAGTCTGGGTGCGTAGGATCTACATTGAGGTGAGTGGGGTGGCAGCTACTGCTGTTTTGGGTATGACGTCAAGCAAGAACAGTGGGGGGCAAAAGGCCGCTCGTCACTATACTGCAGGACACTTGTTTCTTTTGGTTGGGCCACGGCCCACAACAGTTTGACAGCAACCTAACTTTTGAAAAGCAGCGTTGTAAACCGCCAGCATTAGTAACTTGAACACTATTAGATAATTTATTGGCTTAGAAGGTCCTCATTAAAAGAAGAAACCATTACGTCACCACGTGGCACATGGAACGTCCTTGTCCCACTGCCACAGTAACATTACTACTGACTCCGTCTCTGCGGATTTGGCAACCATTCCTGGAACATTCTTATACCCTGCCAATAACTCTCCGTATTCTCGCGTTTGTCGTCGTCCACAAACTCTACATTGTTCATATCACCAAAATCAATAGCCTAAGCATTCATTCCTTCATCAATAACAACATTCATAGGATGAACGTCTCCCCACACGATATCTTGGGCATGTAACTCCTTTACAATGGCAGTGAGTTGCTCCTCCCATCTTTTGTGCAACTCGTACCTTTCCTGGAGGCTAGGGCTTCGCAAGTGGGTCCCTATGTCGGATGAAGTAACCAGGGTCATCAGCAGGCCGATTGTTGTTTCCCCCGACACCACGATGCTATGCAGTCTAGGGACTCGGAACCGATTTGCCAGACCAGCTTTGTAGATACACCACAAAGTACAGAGCTCACGCTCGAACTCTGGTTCACGCATCTCAACCCGCGGTTTGAAATACAGGGGAACTCCCTCCGCCGTCACGACTCTTCATTGGATTGAATCAAGTGTCTTTCCCTCGTCCACGATGGGCGCTATTCAGATATTGCGTGCCTGGAAGGACGACACTTCTTTGCATAGGGAAGGTAGAGAAGGCCGGCGTGTATAGACACTCATTCTCACCCTTGATGCGTATATCCCCATCAAAACCTTCGTGGACAAGCTCTAAATTGTAGGTAGCCGAGTGTATAAAACCTTCCAGACTAAGATCCTGAAATAGCGTTTGTGGTGCCAGTTTTTCAATGAGAGGCA